AATTTAAGAATATATAATAAACCTCAGATATTATAGGTATTAATTAGAGAGATTAGTAGCCCTTTAATATCCCAACTAACTACTATTTATATTATATATATTAGACTTATAAATTACTAATTATATATATACTATTAGGGCCTTCTATTTAGAGAGGGCTTTCCTAAACTATATAGAAGAAATAGAGATTAGTTCTATACTAAATTTAATACTATAGTTTTATAACTCACTAATTCATTCTATTATTTTATTACCTGCTAATAAATATCTTATACTAGAATTACTACTTTATTATAAAAGAAAAATATATTATTATTATTACTATAGTATAATAATAAGAGTATTTTATATCTTATATTATAATTATATAATATACTAGCCTAATCCGGCAAGTAATAAGTAAGTAGTAGTAAAAAATCTCTTTCCTGAATTCTTTATCTCTCTTAATTATTAACTATTAATACCAAAACAATTAATAAAATAAGAGGTAATAACATTTAGTATACTTTTAAATATTATTGGGTTTATAAAGTCTTTAATAAGAAGCCCTGAAAAAAATCTGGATAATTCACGTAATTTCCCTATTACTGCTATTACAAAGACAGGTAAAGACCCTCTATTATATACTCGCGATTATAATGCACAAGCCTTATTAGGTAAGGAAGTTAAGGCAAGCTAAGCCCAAAAAGTACTAGAAACCTCCTAATATAGTATAGTCTTTCACTTCACTCGCGACCCTTAAATTAGCCGAGATAAGCTCGGCAAGCCCTGATTTTAGGCCCTTAAAAGCCTAAAATATCTCAGAAAGGGCCTCTACCCAAAAGCCCGAAAATCTCCCTTAAAAAAAGCACGTGCTGTAACAATAAAAGCTCATTACGGTACGTAATGGTAGAGCCTTTTTACATTATTACAGGTAACGATACAACCCAGCAACCCGGTAAGCAGCGCACTGGGTTAACCTGTGTGCTCCCGGGTGAGGTACAGGGTTGCGAATAAGGACGCACTGGGTTATTTCTCCCTGATTTTTGACTTAAAGAAAATCGACTTTTCAACCTGAAGATAGAATCGGTTCTATAACGTTTTTATAACAGTTTATATACAGTTTAGAAACGCTTAAGTTAGGGGGTTAGGGTACTGGTTAGTTAGAGTTTGCCGGGGGTCCGGGGGGCGGTAGAAGCCCCCGCTTGGGAATACTTTAGAAATGGTTATAATACAGTTAGAAAATGGTTAGAAAACAGTATTTGGGTTACTTACCATAAAGATATAGTTAATGTATAGCAAACAGAACACAGTAAAGCTGTATCCTGTTTCCTGTATTATAGAAGGGAAGCTGATACCAGGCTTGGCAATAATACCTGAGGTATTGATTCGGTATTAATACTAGATAGTATTACTCAGGTATTACTAATATTAATACATATCGATACCGAATCGATTCTTATACCGCTTTCTACCCCGCACCCTTTAATTTTTACTCTCTTTGCTTCTCTCACCTCATATTACGATTCCATTTAGATTATACTCTTAAAATGTCTTCTTTATCTGAACTAGACTCTTCCTTTTTAGCTTCCACTTTAGCAGAATTAATTTCGACTTCCCAGAATTATATAAAATAGAGGTCTCCTGCTTGGGAGTACTATTATTCTCCTACTAAGGAGAAGAACCAAGCTTATCTTTATTATACTTATTATACTAATTCAGAAAAATCGCTATATAGTACTTCTATTACTCAGAATATAAAGAAGTACTTGAAAGGCTATTACTAGATTATTATTAAGAAGGTTTTGAGCAAGAATCAAGTAGTAGTTAATTTGTAATTAAAGTAATATTACTAATAAGCTACTGGAATAAGCAAGAGAGAGGAGCTTAATACCGAGATCCTGGAAGCCTATTTTAATAGCTCAATTATTACTAAAGCTTTAATTTCTCTTATTATTATATGGAATTTGTCTTATACTCTTGTTAAATGGCCAGAGTTCTATATCTTTTACTAATTACTAAACCGAGCTATTATAGGCAAAATTATAACTTCTTATTTAGGAATTACTAGCTTAATTAAAGAAGTTTGGGGAAAATATTAGAATACTATATAATAAGTACTCCAGGCTATACTCTCACTTATTTATATCTTTCTTAATATCTAGACTTCTCTAAATTAATGGCTTTTACTTATAATCTATAGTTACTTTACTATATATAATAGAAAGTAATAAAAGGCCCTTCTTATTTTAAAGAAGATTTCTGGCTATAGATTAGAGGCTTAAATAGTAGTTTTTTGGCTAGTTCTTTAAAATTATAGTATTATTAATAAGCTTGGAGCTATTATAAGTAATAATACTTCTATAAATAATATTCTTTATTATATGGTTTAAAAGAAGCTAAAGAATATACTTGACTTAAATTAGGAAGCAAATTACTAGTATATTTGCTATCTGGGCCATATTATTAATCTAATTATATAAGCCTTCTTATTTACGAATTAGGTTAGCTTAGAGAAGCTTAATTTGTATAATAAGCAAAAGCAAGCTAAAGTCTTTAATATAATAGAGGCAATAAGGGCCCAATTCAGGCTAATGGGTTCCCTTGGCCAAGTATATAATATTATAGTTTATATTTGTAAATTGGCTAGAAGAATAGAGAAGTTCTATATACTTATAAAAAGGCTAATTCTAATAGATAATTATATAAGATAAAATAGCTAGTATAAGATACTTCTTATATTACTTAACTTATAGCCTATAGTAGAAAGATATTATTAAGACTATAAAAAGAAGCTTAAGGAGGATATCTTGACTTCTAAAGATTAGAAAAAGCTTTATATAATTAAGAAGTTCTTTATTCTTTTATATAAGCTACTCTTATTACTAAGGGCTCGACTTCTTTTAATTCTATCCTTTTTATAATAGATATTTTAATTAAATATCTCTAAAAAGAGAATATAAGTTTTCCTTTTTTATTATATAATTATACTAATTCTAATAGACTAAATATTAGAAGAGTAGGAATCTAGAGGAAAAAGACTTTCTTTACCGAATTAAGACAGTATATAAGGTTCTGGATAATTATTATATAAAGACTAATATATCTCTAATTTATACTATTATATTAATTTTAAATCCTTATAATTATATAAGATATATTAAAATATACTAGCTAAAGAAATAGTTCAAACCAGTTCTAGTTAAGGTTAAAAAACTCTAGAAGAAGTATAGGGAAAGAGCTATAATTATATCTACTTCTCTAGCTTTTTCATATAATAGCTTATCTTATAAGATATTAGAACTAGATACTTTTAATTAAATTTTTATATCTCTTCGGATAGTAGCTTGGCCTATAAGTTAAGACAAGTTTAAGAACTATAACTTATTAGTATTATATAATTCTAGTAAATAGAGGGCCCTTATTTAGTAATATTAGAATATATAGAAATAATACTAGCTAAGGCTCTTTCTTATAGCTATTAATATTCTCTCTATTTTACTAATAAGTAATAAGCTAGAGAGAGTATTTTTAGGGGATTAATATATAATAGACTAGAATAGGGCAAAAATAGAGGCAGTAACTATTAAGATATAAGAGTATTTAAAGTATTAGAAAAAAAGTGAAATTCTAAATACTTTCCTTAAAACTAGCTAGAGAAAAATCAAAAAAGAGCAAATATTAAGAGCTTAATATAGTCTATTAGGTATTATATAAAAGCCAGGTAATTATATAATATAAAGAGAGTAGTTCTATCTATTTATTTATAATAGAAGAGATACTCTAGCTAGGATAATATCTAGGCTTTAAAACCCGGCTATTTTGTATAATTTAAGGGGGTTTGAGTTATTCTCTACTATTACCCTCTTCTCTATTATTATTAATATCTCGTATACTATAATAGGTTATATAACTATAACGAATATAGTTACTATATACTTTATATTACTCTTTTTCAGGAACCCTTAAATACTTCTCAAAAATGCTTTAACTATTTTGGCAAGTAGTATAAGGAGTATAGATATTAACTTGGCTACTATATTATTTAGTATAGATTATATAAAATATAAAGAAGTAACTTATACTTATTAAGTCAAGATTATATTAATAATCTCAGGAAGAAGCGGGATATTAAAGGTATTAGAAGTATAGGGACCCTTAATTATAATATCTAAGGGGGCAGAATTAGTAATATTAAAGGTATTTCGCTATTAAGGGCTACTAGTAATAATAGATGGCTCTAGTTTATTACCTCCTATATAAAAGAAGTAATATACGTTATTATAGTTATTAAGACAAGTCCAGATTACTAGATCTTGCTAAGCTTGAGCTACCATCTTGACTAGTATATATATATGTGTGTGTATATATATGTATATATGGGGGTAGGTAGAATGGAGGATATGTGGAAAGTATATATAGATTAGAGAGAGGGTTGGAAGCTGAGAGCTTATTTTAAAGGTATCTGGATTATCGAAAATTAAAAATGGGAGTATAAATGACTCAGATTAAGCTATATTGTATTATATAAAGCTATGATTTATATAGTTATTTGGTATAGTTCAGACGATGGCACCAAAATTAGCTGGGGCCTTAGAAATAGGGCAAAGTATTACTAAGAATCGATTCGGTATTGATAGTATTGATACCTTACGATTCTGGCATCAATACGTATCATACCGGAAATTAGGTATTTCTGCCAAGCCTGGCTGATACCTGACGAAAATCTTAACTGGTTACTTTGGACCCCTGTAATCTCACTCGGCGGAGCACACGGCTTAACCAGCTAAATTTACGCTGTAGACTCCCCAGCAACCCTACCTGTGCTGAGCTTCAGTGCATCAGCCGGAGAAGAGTTCCCCGTTTCGGCCCCAACTTTTGCAGCAATCTTGCTCAATCCAATCCATGTACGACAGGCGAGCCAATTGAAGACTTTCCGGTCCTCTTGGAAATTTCCCATTAAGGTCGTTTGTCATGACCAACCTCCCGAGACACCCGCCTTACACGAGCTGCGGCTCTATCTTCGTTCAATCACATCCGTTCTTTCGCACTTTTCCCCTGCAGCTAGTGCATGCTGCAATGTTAAAATGGAAAGATGGGGCCAAAAGAAGCAACCAAGCCGGTGGATCCAGTCGGCGGCCTGTCTTTACGACCCGACTGCTGTAAGGCTGGGGTGATGCTGCCCTCCTCTGTCAGATCAATTTCCAAGGTATCGGTACTGCAGAGGAAAACGGTCAGCAGAGATCTCGGTATACATATATCGGCAACCCCGTCACTGAACCTTTCTTTTACTGGGTGCGTTTTTGTTAATTCCTAATTGTTCCTCGTTCCCATCCAGCTTCACGATGATCCTCTCGAAGCTAGTCTTGGTCCTGCTTGCAGGGTTGGTAACTGCTCACCCTGGTCAGTCCTGCTCCGATGAAGATGCGGCCAGGATACGGAAATACGTGGGGAAGAACTGGCACCACGCGCTGGGATCGACATGCGCGTGTGAGACTTTGACAAGAGAATTTTCAGAGAAGGTACTCCACCCAGGATCAAACAATTATACGACAGAAGCGAAAGCCTATTGGGACGTCAGAGAGGATCTTTCTCCGAAATGTATCTTCATTCCAGGCAATGCGCATGAAGTGGCAAAAGGAGTCATTGTTTTGACGGCATGCAAATCTCAGTTTGCGGTTCGAGGGGCAGGGCACATGCCGGTAAGTCTCCTTGCCAGCTTTTGTTTTCACAAATCCATTCACACTTGAGCAGGTCAAAGGAGCTGCAAATACCGATGGTGGCGTCCTCGTTGCTCTGAATTCATTCAAAAACTATACAATTCTGCCCGAGGAGGGAATTATGGAAGCTGGTCCAGCTCTGAATTGGGGTCAGGTGTACTCTGCATTGGTGCCTTACGGGAAAATCGTTATTGGAGGTCGCCTCAAAGATATTGGAACGGGTGGCCTCACTCTCGGTGGGGGCATCCACTACTTCACCAACAAGTACGGCTTCGCAATGGATAACGTCGTCTCGTACGAGGTTGTGACGGCTGATGGAAAAATCGTGGATGCCAGTGCAACCTGCAACCCAGATCTGTTTTGGGCTTTGAAAGGCGGTTCCAACAACTTCGGAATAGTGACCAAGTTCACTTACAAAACCTTCGATGTTCCCGTTGTCAGCACCCAATTCTCCATTTACGCCGAAGCTGCCCTTCCTGCTTTCAGTAAAGGCATTGCTGGTCTCGGTCAGATGGACGACGCAAACCCTATCGGCGCAGGAGGAACTTTCAGTCTCTTGTGCAATGTGACGGGTGGACCTGGCCTTTTGCAGATACTCGGAGTTCAAGAAGGGGCAACGACGTCCCAGTTTGCAAATTTCTCGTCGATTCCAGCCGAAGCGACCTTGCTGAATGTCAATAATGTCACTACGTTGGCCCAGGCTTCTACCATCCTCAGCCTCATTCCTTACCAAGCATCCAGGTATGTACTGCTGTCGAAATTCTCGTGCTACTGGTTGTTGACGCTACATATAGGTGGACCTTTGGAGCAAAAAGTATTGTCGGGATTGACGCTGACAACATCGTCGAAATGTACCAGATGCTCAAGACCGCCGTAGTCCCAATGGCGAACATCACCGGCCTCAATCCGACCATGACTTTCCAGCCGATACCAAAGAGTGCCGCAGCAGTAGCAGCACACAATGGCATTGGGAACACCTGGGGCGTCGATGATAGCACCCCTCACAACTGTGAATCTCCCTCCCCCATCACATGATATCAACTGCAGACTTCTGAGCAATGCTGACCTTACTCTCTCAGGGTGGCTTATCACAGTATCATGGCAAAACGCCAGCGACGACGAAGTAGTCCTCGCCTGGCACAAAAAGACTCTCGAAGCCATCCACGCCTCCAACAAAGCCAAAGGCATCGCTTCCGACTTCATCTACCTAAACGACGCAGCGGACTACCAGAAAGGCTACGACGGTATTCCGACGGCTAATCTGGCAAGAATGAAGAGCACCAGGGCAAAATATGACCCTGATTTAGTCTTCACGAAGCTTTGTAGTGGAGGGTTTAAGTTGGATTGAGAGAGGGAGAGAGGTGGGGCCGAAGTAGAGATTGCATTATGTAGGCGGGAGTTGGCTTGGTGAGGGTTTAGGCTTGAGTTATACTAATGCCCATGGCTTAGCCTGGTGCTATTCTCCGTCTTGCTTACTTTGCGTTCGAGAGGCGATGATGATAGGAGAGTAAGATTCGGAAGTCCCGTTATGTCCAGTTACTTGCCATCGCAAAGTCTTCTTTGAAGGGCGTTTGCCTGAATACAATGGACTGAGAACTTGGTAACGGCACTGGAACAACAGCGACTCGCCGGCACTTCTCTGTATAAGGCATTCTGGTTGGGGTTTCAAGCCCGAGAGGAGGATGCTACTGATGCCCTCAAGTCCCCGGACTATTGAACCAGCTTAACGAGTTTTGCCTCTATTCCAACAGCGGACGTCCGACCGCCAACTACAGCAAGCCAATATAGTACCCCAAGACCCCTCACCCTCGTTATATAGAAGTGAAGAACTGCCGAGAGAATGCCAGTGATACTATAATCTTGGATCGCGGGGTCACACAACACCGACGTCCGCAAGAATTTTATAAGAGCACACGCGATCGCGAAAAAAATCGGTTGTGTTAGATGCTGATCGCCTTTTTGAGCTTTTCAAAACGACGACTAAGAGGCTGGAAAGTGAGACAGATAGACGGGAGGATTTACTCCAACCTGCATCTCCACCGACAGACCCCCGCATTATATCGTGACCCCGTGTCGCCCTAGCTCTCCCTTCTTCTCTTCCCCGTCGCTCTTGCACAACTCTCGCCTTTCACCATATAAAAGCACGCCAACAACGCGTCAATTTCAACTCGGCACTTTAAACTCAACACCTTACTTCCAACAAACAAACCCCCCACGAACTCCCTCAAAAATGACAACATCCACAGGTTCCTATACACACTACGCCGTTCATATGAAGGGGGAGGAGTTGATGGAGATGAAGAAGAAGGGGGGAGTCCGTGAGGGGAAATTGCGGAGGCCAGGATTGGAGGGGGAGCGCGTGTTTGAAGGGGTGGCGAGAAAGGGTTTGATGGAGAGGAGTGGCGATTTCAGCGTGCTCTATGATTCCCTGGTGTGTTTGGATTGAAAATGGAATTCGTGGCTTTTTTATTTGGGGATATGATGATAGGATGGAGGGTGTTATGTTTGGGTATCTGTACCGTTTTGTGCCAAGTGGCTTTCCTGTGACTTCAATGTGCGACTTGGGCTGGTAAATTCAGGTTACTCCATCTCAGTTAAGTGGCTTTTGCTCTTGATAGTTGGATCGGTCGTACGTGTGAGGCAAGGCACCTCTCCTTAGTCTCATAAATTCGATCGATCGCACGAACATAAGCGGCATTTTCATCTGAAGTCAACTTTTCGCTCATGGTGTAGATCATTCAGAAGATGGAGGATAAAGCGCTGCCGTCCCATCCCATGGGCTCCTTGGATTTTTGCTCTTGGGTGTTTGGAAACTGGAACATCAAGACAGACTGACGAGCTCTTTGCGACTGGAGCGCTGAACTGTAGCTCTCAAAATTAAGGACGCGGAACACTTCGACTCTGTCTCTGACTTTTGCTAAATGCTTCGTACTTACCTAGTCCGAGTCAGCAAAAGGTCCTCCCAGATCTAGCATCATTCCAAAAGTGAACCACTTCCTCACCTCTCATGAGCTCGATGAATATTTTTGCTCTTTTCAGACGAGAACGGAGACTCTAGGAGTCGATCTCGCTCGAGAAGAAGCGAATGTTTACTCCAGTCATTGAACAATACAGACTCAGAAGTAAGTCATAGTCTCTTTTATAATTCACTTGTGTCATAAGAACATTCAGACGCAGGTGCATAGAGAACTGATATCCTTTGAAGCCAAGGGATTTGGATTCTTGAAATGAATTGACCATGCTTTGACCGCTTGCGACAGTGCCCAGGGTAATGAATTTCAGTCTGATGAGTGCAATTCTGACAACGATGAGCGTGTTGAAAATGACGCGGAAAGGAAAACGATAGATAATAGAATGTTTGAAAGAGTGATTGTACGTGTAAAAGTCGTGCATAAGGTTCGTTGGAGCACTTTAAGCCGCATCAGAGAAAAGCTTTGCTAGTATCTTTCCTATCTCAACAACGCAACGCAACTATTTTTCATGGAGAATGCTTACTGACGTCTTTAAGTCAACCTCTCATCTCCCAAAGAGGCCCAGACCATAAGATGATCTGGTCGATGAATGCCTCTAGATCCCGTGACGTAGGCCCGCCCTGGCTTCGGGACCTAAAATTCGCCGTTCTGCATGACGGACCCGATAATCTCAACTCTGACACTGAAAATGTCCTTGACGTTAACCGGGCCCAGGAACCGGGGGAAATTCTTCTTACAACGTCAAAAGCAGGTACAAACGATAATCCGAGCCGAAAGCGGCAACAGGCACCTCGACCAACTGTGGCTTGCGAGCTGTTGTGTGACCCGAAGCCAGTCACTTGACGGCAACGAAGCGCATCACGAACCCGCGCCTCATTCTTACCTGTAACCTTATCCATATGGGAATCGGGGACAATTTATTGGGGTTCCTCCGCGTTCTTCCCCGTCATCGGTTAGTTCGCATCATCTGGTCTCGAGGTCGGTGCCTTGCATTTGCAGATGGATGGTGTGCCGGCACAAAGTTCGCTCGATTGTAGCGCGGAGGGGAAAATGTAAAACGACCCCCCCTCCCTCCCTCTCCCCCCGGGGTGTCGATTAGGGGTGTCGATTAGGGCAAGGTGTTGATAAACTTGTAATTGGCTACCTAAGCTCTTTAAAATTCTGAAGTTATATTTTTAATATAAGTAAAATCTAGCATATTACCCCTTCGTCCGGCGAGACATTGCTACATTAGCGGCCGCACATGAATATCCCTAATTCGGATTATGTTCTGGCCGAATTAGGGATTTTCATGTGCGGCCGCTAGTGTGGCAATGTCTCACCGGACGAAGGGATAAACCTTACATTATAATTATATGCTTCTTAACTTATAATAAAATGAGTTCTTAAAATAATATTTTAATTTAAGATACTAATTAATTAAGTTTTAGTTTTTGAGACTTATAAAGCCATATAAATTATAGGCTTGTAGGCCTCTTATATCTGGTTTTAGGGACTTATTTGCCAAATTTCTAGGCTTTCTTAAGCTTATCTTTAAGCTATAAAGTATATGTTTTTTTAACTTCTTTAATTTAGAGAACTATTACTAATTCAAGTTTTATAAAAAGTCTATATTTAAATAGCCCTTAATTAGTGCTATAAGAAAGTAAAATAAGTATTAGATTATAGTAATTCCTTATAAAATTTAATTAAATTAAAGAAAAAGCCAGAGTTTTGGTATTCCTGTCCGAGCGCCTCTACTTTGGGTTAGTGGCTAGTCTGGCCCCCAATCGACACCCCTAATGGGGTGGGGGGCGGGGTCGTTTTAGTCCTTCCCCTATCAACCGCCACTTCCGCCGATGCATCTTCCAGGCCCCAACACGACCAACCTCCTATCTACCAAATTTCAATACCCCTATTTTATCTACTCTATCATCATCAGGATAAATATACGGAAAACCACCAGCCCTTCCCTCAACATCCCAACATCCACCGTCCTCGTCCGGCTTGTTGAATTGCGGAAAAGACTGAATGTTGGGCCTCGAATGAGAAGGTTTCATCGTCGTACAAGTTATGACTCTCAGGATTCGGCCATTAGCCTTACCACCTCAACACAATCCTCCAATTCGACGTCCAATTTCCAATTTCAATTGAGGCACGGCGACGCTGAACCATACGACGTGACGAGCTGAAATACAACTATGGTGCCTTAAGGCCAGCCTCGAACCATTCATCTCGACACTCGAAATGGATCTGCAACCATCAAACCCGCTGTGCGATTTGTGCAAAAGTATCTCTATCGAGACTTTGAGCCCCCCAGAAGGGTTCAAACATGCCAACGATTCCATGTTTTCGACTAAAACTTGGCCTGTTGATGGGAAATGCCGGCTCTGCGTATCCTTCTCCCACGAGACCGAGCTGCACCACAAGAGGAATTTTCGACTTCATCTCAACTCTAAGGGAAATGACAACTATCGAACACTCGGTATAAGCTATGAAGGTTGTGATGAGTCAGATATCATCAAATACCCAGTATTTACCGATGAAGGAGATCCAGCTGCCCTTGCAGGTATCCGTATTCGAAGGAGACCGGAACTGCCTTCATCGTCAGGGGCCTACGAAGTTGCAAAAGCTTGGATTGGTGACTGCAGATCGAACCATCTTTGCTCGTCATCGCGGGTCACGAGCATGCAACTCGAGGGCATCCGGCACGTTTGATTGACCTAGAGCCATTATTACCGTTTAATGAAGACTCTAAAGATGCTCAAATAATTCCATATCGGCTTGCGAATTCCGGGTATGCTACTCTAAGCTACTGTTGGGGGACGACAATGCCACCAGGCAGTGTAACTACTCATGATAATATTGGGAAGCGGTTGAAGCGTCTAGAAGCCTCCAGCCTTCCTCAAACTTTACGGGATGCCTTCAGAGTTACACGTCAACTTGGAATTCGGTATCTCTGGGTGGATGCTTTGTGCATTATTCAGGATGACCCAAATGACTGGGCCACCGAGGCAGCAAATATGGCATCTATATATGATAATTGTCTGGTCAGCATTGCCGTGGAACTTGGGTCAGATTGTACTGCTGGCTTCCTCCGCCATACCCCTGAACAACAAGACTTTTGTGTTGATTGTTTGATCAAAATCTCAAATCGGCTCAATGGTGGTAAAATGAGCAATTTATATATCTGGACTCCCGGTATTTGTCGTTGTTTCTATATCCGCGGCATCGAGTCCCTTAAAAAGACCCCGCTTTCAGAACGTGGATGGACTTATCAAGAAAGATACTTGTCTCCCAGAATCCTACATTTTATTGGCGCTCAAATCGTCTGGGAGTGTCGTGAAGTACACGGAGTTTCACTGGAACGCGGATTGAATCTGGAAGATACCATTTTGCATCGTTCACCGTCAACGTGTGGAGGTGTTGCGAAGCTGGGATTGCAGTCTGTGAAGACAGTAAATCGGGAAAAACTGCGCGAACATTGGTATTACGATATTGTGCCCGAATACTCCCGACGCAAGTTGAGCCGGAAATCAGATAAATTGCCAGCAATCACTGGAATTGCCAAGTCATTCAGGCAGAGATCCGAGGATGTTTACTTCGCCGGCCTCTGGCTAGGTGATATTTCGTATAGTTTGAGTTGGTGCACTGAGTTCGTTGCAAAGCACCCCGGTTTCTACCGAGCACCAACCTTTTGTTGGACATCTGTTGATGGTAATGTGTTTTATCCAAGAGGCGCGAGAGAGGATCTGACACATTATGTTCACATCGTAGATCGGCACATTGATTTTCAAGGGCCTGATTCATATGGATGTGTGATTGGAGGATGGATCAAGATCGTCGGATATCTTGGGAATGGAATCATTCAGGACGGGAAGTTGCTTAACGAGAAGACGGACTTCATTCTTGGCCATGCCCGCTTTGATGCAAACCGATACATGGGTGCCCATGACGGGAAGTTAGTGAAGTATCTCCTTCTCTCGACCGCTGCGCCTGGCCAGTTCAACGTTTGCAGAGTTCTGCTCTTGCAACAGAGCGGAGAGAAGGAATTTGAATATGAAAGAATCGGACTTTCAGTCAGTGGCAATATGGATGTCCATATCAATCATACCTGGCTTGCAAAGCACTGTATATGGACAGAGTTCAAATTATTTTGATATTTGTTTTGGGAGAGGGCTCATCCTCATAGCTAGTAAACTTAACTTAAATAATTATAAGAATAAGAAATATACTGTATGTTAAGGCCCACTCCCCAATACGAGCCATAGTCCAATCGGCCTACCAGTTAACTAATCGGGTGTTCCCATTTAGTAATAGGGGGAACATATCGAGGATCCTTGTAGCGAGGTTTTACTGTGCTCAGTTTCCACCATGTTGACTTTCCGCAATAGTGCTTGTCAATAACCTCGATAAGGGTGAAAGGGTGTATTACACGGCTGTTCAGATTCCATGAAGGGTCGAGTATTTATCATCTAGTGGCTGTGATTTGCAAGATTTGCAATCAAACTGCTCTTGTTGGTTGTCTCGTGGTCCAGCTTTGCCAAGTACAAAAACAGAGGTGGGTGGCGCTCAGCTGAACCGCCGCTAAGCGTTCGCAACCAACGGTCAGGATGTAAGCTGTGCATAAAATGTGCTCTCTGTGTGGAACATGCCGTCCACCAGAAATGTGGCTTGAACTAAAATACTAGGACTCGGCGTTGGGCCATTCTTTCCCAACTTTACTGCTCATTCACATTATCTTCATTGCAGAGCCATGCATGGCCACCAAAAGCATGCAGGATATTTATCAGTCATTTGCTCTTGACCTGGCCGTCGAAGAAATACGTATCGTCAAGGTTCGGCCAGGCTTCGGCAATGATATCTTTTGCGAATTGGAGAAGTTGGTTTTGCCGCAGCACACCACAGATGATAAAGGAGGGACGGGCAAGCCTGCAAAGGCAAACTACGTAGCGTTATCCTACATGTGGGACTACATGACTCCCTCTCTCCTTCCTTCGAAACATTGGTCGAGAAAAAACCAGGAGAAAGAAATTTATTGCAATGGCGCGTCACTCACTGTCAAGTCAAATCTCTACGCCGCCCTTCACCAACTCCGGCACAAGACTGAGCCGACAATTCTTTGGACGGACGCGATTTGCATCAATCAGAAAGATGACGATGAGAAGACTAGCCAAGTGAGGTTGATGAGAAAGATATATGCTCTGGCTGAGAAAACAGTCGTCTGGCTAGGACAAGAGACTTACGTGTCTGCTCAAGGCTTCAAAGCTATTCGTTTCCTAGCCGATATAATGCGCAGTAGTTACCTTGCTGGCAGTAAGAACCAGGAGGAAGCACCACGTCAATCCCTTAGCCTCTTGCAGTCATTCATCAACCCGAATAGATATCTATGGCATGTTGGAGCATTTACTCTTCTCCTGCGGAACCCATACTTCACACGAGTCTGGATAGTTCAAGAAATAGGACTCAGTCAGAATCTTGAATTTCGAGGCGGCGAGGAGTGTGTGTCGCTGAGCGACTTTGCACTGGCCGCTTCCGCTGCAGCGTTCAGTGCTATTGGTAGCAAGAACTCACTAAACTTGACAAACATCCTAGCAGTCAGGTTCCTCGTCCGTGGAGGTCCACGTGAAGGTCTGGGAGATCCATCATGGTTGCATGCAGAAGCGGCCGGTGAAAAGCTGACACTGGTGCGGGACATTCTCTCCATAATATCTCTGTTCCGCGGAAGCCAGTCAAAAATGGAAGTGGACAAGATCTTCGGTCTGCTAGGTCTCTGTCGCGAGATGAACAATGCTCAAACGTTTGGGATCGAAGAAGACTATAGTCTATCAGTTCAAGAAGCGTATACAAGAACGGCGATCTCCATTCTTGAAGGAAGGCGAGACCTTGATATTTTTGCAGCTCTTCGTTTGCAATCATACGATGAAAACATCTTCAACCTACCTTCCTGGGTACCTGACTGGAGCAACACCGAACATCCCACCATACCTCTCAACGCAGGATCCGGTAGTCATACAATGGCCAAATATTCTGAGTTTGAGTACCGTGTCGAGAAGACCCCGTAAGTGGTAACCATAAACGATTGATCTCATACCCTGGATGAGTCTAACAAGCGTTCTGCTCAGGGGCAATCTTCACACGCATATTCTATATCTCTCGGGGCACCTGATAGACAGAATTACTGAGGTTGGCCACGCATGCAACACAGAGAAGGCTCAAGCGAGTGCATGGTTCTGTTTCAAAAATATCTTCAATTTCGCCGGCTCGCACCTCCTGGAAACTTTCGTCAACTGGTGGACACAGTTCGACGGGAACGAGCCCGTCTCGCAAGAGTTCTTGGCTACTATAACGTGCGGGCAAGACTTCAAGTACAACACAGACTCCATTATGGAACTGATTAGACGCTTCCAGCAAAGGGGCTTCCACGATCTTCCCATTGTCCTGAAGCTGGGGTGGACCTTCATTCCAATACGAGCTTCCGAATTGTATTTCAAACCGACTTTGGAACGGTTGCACATCATCACTCTTCAATGCCTAGCAATTCCCGCTACACTGTTTCTGGCATCGTATGTCTGCTTCGCTATATGGCCGCGCTTGGTGATGTTCAAGCTCAGCCCGCAGGAGGATGACTTCTATGATAACGGTCTTGCACACATTGAAGGAAGATCCATGGCGAGGACAGAGACCAGTAAACTTGCTCTCGTGCCTGACGGTGCAAGAATAGGAGACCTCATTGCTATTTGTAAGGGCGGAAGGGTTCCCTTCGTCCTTCGCAACACTGCCACGGAGGGAAGATTTCAGATAGTTGGAGAGGGGTATGTTCACAGCGTTATGGATGTCAAGGAAGGTTATGATGAGGATCGATGTATGAAGCTGGCTATAGTTTGATTTCGCAACTGTTCGGGTCTTGCTTCCAATTGTCCACGCTCTCTGGTACACTCGGCTTCTGCTCTAGCGATGGCATCTCGGTAGCGCTGAGCTGCCAGTCGGTTCAATTAGGGTGAACCCTTTCTAAAGATTCCTGATTAAGATTTGGTTCTTTCAGTGGTGCATGAACATTCAGAAGCTACGGAATGGCGGTTGCAGATGTAGTGAACGTAAATGTGGCCCCTTATTCCGAATTCAATAAGCGAGAACCCGGGATAATTTTTGTCGCTTAACGAGAGGTAAAGTCCTCAGGGAAAATAAATCTTAGTTTTAATATTCGTTAATCGTGGGAATATCTTCACTAGGTATTACTGTTCGATAGATACGGAGGTTCGCCGAATCAATAACCAAAAGGCTGCGGAAGCTCCAGCACAAAGCAATACGAATACGAAGGCGGGCGGCGTTAAAAATCGTCCAATTCGCTAGGTAAACCTTGACTCTCACAATATAAAAATTCTCGTAATTCCGTATTATATTTAATTATTGAGAAAATTCCACAAAAGTTAGATATGCTTCTTTTCTGCCTCACAAAGCTATTTTAAGGAGTTTTAGGGGTTGCATTGAGATTTGGTGTGATTTTCCAAAGGTAGCGATTTTGGTGTTCCTCGCTTTTTAGCGAATGGACGATTTTTAATGACGCACGCCTTCGTAGAGGGATTGAGGTGTATCGAACGATTACTGGAGCCGCTTAACCTGGAGGCGCATACTACGGTACTCGGGGAAACAGAGGTTAATTCGCTTCCAGCACTTTCTACGCTAGACAGGGGGGTCCACCCAATGAACTTAAGATGCGCGCCTGCTGCTTTTACCACTCAATTCTATACTGCAGTAGTAGCTTCTCAGTATGGCATCCGCATTCTCGATTCCCGTCCCTAAGCAACCAAGACAACCAGAGCTTACACGCGATCAGAGACTCCGTATTCAAACCCTTTTCTTTGACGCCAACTTTACACGCGAGCAAATATGCCTTCAAACTGGCTATACATATAAGCAAGTCTGCCACGCACTTATCCATCGTCTTACCCCTCAAAAACAAAGGACTGGACGGAAAATCCTACTCAATACCCCTCAGCGAAAGAGGCTAATCCAATGGGTAACAGCTTCTCAAGAGAATCGCGAGACTCCGTGGGTTGAGATCCCCTCAATACTTGGCCTCGATTGCGGAGAGTATGCGATCCGGACAGCGTTTAAAAAGGAGGGATCCGCACGATTTGTCTCACGAAAGAAACCACCGCTTTCTGAAGCGAATAGGAGGAAAAGACTTGATTGGGCGGAAGAACACAAGAATTGGACGGACGAGCAATGGGATGAGATCCTTTGGAGCGATGAGACATGGGCACAACCTGGGAGACATATACGGACTTGGGTCACACGCAAGATTGGAGGAGAGGAGGTATACCACAAGGATTGCGTGCAATCCAAGTATCGGAAGAAGATTGGATGGATGTTCTGGAGATTAATAAGTGGGAGATACGGCCGGTATCGAGGGCTCTTTTGGGAGAAGGAGTGGGAGACAATTAATGGAGGCTCTTACTCTGGTATTATTATCCCTATCGTCGACGATATCCTCCGCGAATATCCTGATTTATACTTCCAACAAGACCACGCACCGGGACATGCTTCTGCTTTTACACGATCTGTAATTGCAGCTGCAGGATTAAGGATTATTGAATGGCCTCCTTTCTCCCCTGATTTAAATCCAATTGAGACCCTTTGGGATGATATAAAGGACTATATACAAGAGCACTACCCTAAAGTCCATAGCTCTTATAAAAGGCTCAGGGCTGCAATTCAGGAAGCTTGGGATTCGATTACACACGAGAGAATTAAGGAGGTTGTACATAGTATGAGAGAGCGATGCCAAGCTGTGATTGACGCAGATGGATGGTATACAAAATACTAGGGTTTTTGCTTAGGGCAGCACTGTGGTGCATCACCCCTGCATTTTAACCTTTGTTTCCCCTACTACGAAGTATCAGGATCAGGCGCACCGGCTACGGAAAGCTGTAAGGACCATATGTGCCAGAGCGAAACACAACACCCGCTTGCATAATAGATCTCACCAGAAATCTGTGCCGCACCCCACGCAAAAGTCAACCACTAATTTTTTAGCACCTATAGCCTATAATTTAACGATTAAAGCCTATAATTATGGGGCTTCCTTTTCCTCGTGACTCTCGACTCTCAAAGTTCGCTCTCCACTTTTCACTTTTCACTTTCACCCGCCTCCCCGCCCCCCTCTCCTACCCCATACTTATATATAGGAATTAAAAGAGAGAGAGTAATGATTTTAAGAAGTAGCAGTGGCTTAGAGAGAAGGATAGTAGAAGTGGGCGTGGGCGATTTTTGGTAGGGTGAAACATGCAAGCAGGTGCGGGTTTTGCGTTTCGCATCGGCACATGTGGTCCTTACGGCTTTCCGTAACCGGCGCCAACAGAGGTGATAATGCAGCTAGCCAAAATCGTACTAGTGCTGGCAGATGGGTGTTTACCGTTGCGGCTGATTTATGGCGGACACTGACTGATTTGAACACTCAGGTTCTTTCTCAAGCACGTCACCGCGAGGCTTCAACACCTCCAGCCATGGCTGCACCAGCAAATATTGCCGATAGCGAACTAACTCTCAACGCTCCATATCAATACCAGCCCATCGACCCCAAAGATGAAATCAGAATCCTCATTGTATCGCCGCCAGCCTCGTCCGACCCAACCACCATTCATGGCGAGCTCTTTACCGCCAAGCGCTCTGACAAACCGCCATACGAGGCGCTGTCTTATTGTTGGGGAGCTGAGGTGTTTCCCGAGATGCTTCATCTACCCGGAGGTGTTCTTGCCATCACGGATAACCTCGCTGCTGCCTTGAGGCAGCTGAGACATCCAGAACAACGTCGCCATCTTTGGGTAGATGCCATTTGTATCAATCAGAGGGACAACCAGGAGAAAAACCACCAAGTTTCTCTGATGTCTCAAGTTTTTCGGAATGCGACCACTGTTCTGGTGTGGCTTGGGAAGGGGGATGAGAATACGAGAGAAGCGATGAAAACAATGAAGCAACTCGCCAACTCCGCCTGGGAATACGGTATTCCTTCGAGGGTGGTAACCGAGGATGGCCTCACAGGTAGCGTCCTTGCGACAACTAAGGTCGCCTCAGGCTTTGCCCAAAGCAACAATGGTATATCCAAAAAGATCGTTGGCCTATCGGAGACGATTAAATTTGGTTCGTTCGAGGCCTATTTCGATCAAGACTGGTTCAAGAGGCTTTGGATTATCCAGGAATTCGTTCTTGCGCCAAACCTTACCATTCATAATGGCGAGATGGCATTGTCCGCCCATGATTTTATGTTAGGATTTTCTGTTATCTCCCTGCTTGTTTCACATCCTACCGTTGGAGAAACATGTGTTGCTAGGCTGGGGAATGTGCATTTGGGTTTTCTTGTATGCATGCAAAAAGAACAATACTGGCATGGGAAAGGTCATAATCTTGTGTTACTTCTAGACCTTTATTCACAGCGTCAGTGCAAACTGGAAGTGGACATTGTTTATGGACTTCTTGCCATTGCAACTGACGGTGCGGAATGGCCAGTAGACTACGGATTGACAGTCGAGTTGGTCTTTACGGAAGTAGCTCTGAGCTACCTGAAGAGGTCCAATCTCAGTATTCTCCACCGCGGTTACAGAGCAATGCAAATTTCCAGTAATGCAACAACCGACGCCGCATCATATCGTGCTCATCTTCCTTCATGGGTTCCAGATTGGAGGTTTGAGGGCCATGGTAACGAGTTTGATAGTGATGGGTTTAACTCAGCGACATCTTCTCGGCCTAAAGTATCAACTGAGTATGCGAGTAGTGGCATTATCGGACTTGAAGGTGTTTATGTCGATGAACTGTCTATTACAGTCCCAGATACATCGAATAAATCAACACCAGTCCCGTGGGATGGTCCGGGTGTTCTGAATAACTTCACTCAGGCTCTAGCGTTCAAAGAGATTTTTATTAGGCGGATGCAACTGCGGAACTGGCAATACCCAACCGGGGAGGCTCTAGATTCGGTCTTTGCGCAAAGCATCATACTTGAAAATACACCTGACTTTTGCAAGTGGAGACTTGGAGAACACCTCACTCCTAACGACATGCTTTTGCTGTGGCAGAAGGTAGTGGATGCGTTTGCACCCGAGGACTCTACACCGCCATCAGGTTCACAGCACGATTCGAACAGCGTAGGGCCAGCCGGCTTCGACACAGAACTTTATTCTAGGGTTATTAAGATCGCGCGCGATGACCGGAAGTACATAATGACAAGATCCGGATATATCGGACTAGCGCCTGAAACCTGCAAAGTGGGTAATGTTATCGCAATTTTCGATGGCGCGGAGACTCCGTTTGTGCTTCGACTGGCAGAGAAGACTGACTCACTTGAAAGAATAAGGAATCTCGGGTCTGAAGTCCGTGAAAATGTGGGAGAGCTGTGGGAGATTATTGGAGAGTGTTATTTGTATGGCTTGATGAACAATGAGGTGTTACGACCTGAATGGAATGATAAGAGACGGAGCTTTTGGCTTGTCTGATTTCTGCGTCTCCTCACACAAACGAACTCTTGACGGACAATGGAAATGTCTGGAGTTCGGAGCCCTTGGGGCTATAGAACGTTGAGTTGAGATATTACTGCGAATTTCCCACCAACAGATTTTTGGTATGGCCGAACTACACGTTCCTGTGCGACGGAAAAGACTCCAGGATAAGGGGAAAAGGAAGAGTGGAGCTCAAAGTATCGGAGTCAAGAGCATTTCAGATATATGAGAGGGGAGCTACTCAGCTGGAAAGAGAAGCAGGAGCTAAGGAATTGGAGGAGTGCTGTGGGGCTGCAATGGGAAAGTATCAATGGTCGTCCTGGGATAATCGAGAGAGCGGTGCTGGAGGCTAGGAGAAGGGGGAGCGTATTTGAATTGAGTTAATCGATGAGCTACAGTAATCTTGATCATAAATATGCGTACTACGTCACTGATGCTTCGCACACATTTGTCAGAGCCCCGATGTGCTTGTTATACGGGAAGAATTGTAAAGACAGTAATTGTGTGTATTTGTGAGAGTGATCGAGATGAGTTGACGCAAAAGAAAGAAGGGCATAAAAGTCAGTATTGGCTCCACCATCAGCCACATGAATGTCTCGACGAGTTTCCTGTTTATAAGAAACCGATCTCAAATGGCTGTTATCAACTTTTAGACTTGACAAAGCATATTTCCAACTTCCTCCCATCGTTCGTTTCCAACGCATGGCGTACACCAAAACACATCATGCGGGTCAACTTTTCGCTTGATGTCTAGAAGTCTTGAATAATTATCTCCCCAAAAGGCATGTGGCCAGTTCGGCGTGTTTGGGTCCGCCTGTAGAATGCTCCATAAGCAACGAATATATTGCAGGTTCGAATTTGACTCACCTCATTCACATATGCTCCCATATCTGGAGCAAGATCACGAAGTGCCTTGGTGTAAGTGTTGGTAAGAAAATCTTCCTGCTTTGCCTTTCCAGCTGGGTCTAGAGGCTCCCATGAAACGCTGTTTGCTACTCTCGATTAGCTCCAATCATGAACATCAGATTATGCGAGACGTACTGAAGTGCAGATAGGCTTTTCTCCAAGCTGGATTGATACTATTGCTTCCTCCACGAGGAACAGAATCCCACACATTCCTTCCAGAGACTAAGTAAGGCCCACTATATGAGTCCGGTGGAGTAAATGCTTTAATCGCCTCTTTCAAAGAGTTCAGATCTCCTGTCAACGCTTTTTCATCCAGGAGCCAAGAACCCACCAAAGCATCAGACCCACCATCCAGCGGTCCGTTGGTGTCTTTGAACCAAGCATAGAAATCGGGATAAGTTTTTGGGAGCACAATGACCTTGAACTGTCCTGGAAACGGAGCGGTAGCGTTATTAAAGACATCCGTAATCGCCGCAGCCAGTGTTGCTGATGAATTGGAGGGTGAGAGGAGCGGCATAAAGAAATATCCTGCATATGCTGCTACCGGCGTGGTGATGTTCAATTCGACGTTGGTGAAACTTGGCAATATAAATGGAATGCCTGCAATTCCTTGCCCAGAGAGACTTGGATATTGCGAGAGAATGTAAGCAATGACGCTCCAGTAAGCATCTGAGGTTGTGTTCGTGCCGACAAGAAACGTCACGGCAGCAAAAGGGGTCGCTGGGAAGGCTTTGATCGTTGCCGAGGTGATGACCCCAAAAGTGGATCCGCCCCCCTATTTCGAGTCAGTAAGCAAGAATCCCCTAATTTTGATCGTTTAGTAGAGTGAGATGAGACTTACCCCACGAATTGCCCAAAACAAATCCTGATTTTGGCATTCATTGATTGTGAGTATTTCTCCGCGTGGTGTGACTATTTCCATTTCGAGGACCTGATCGGCACCCATGCCATAAGTTGCACTCAATGCTCCATGGCCACCACCTGTCAGATATCCACCAGGACCAACAGTTTCAGAGTTGCCGGCTACTATGGTCAGATTTCTCAGACTTGCCTGAAGATCCATCTCACCAAACCTAAATTTCCGAAGTTAGAACATTACACCCCACATTGGAATGGAGCAGAGCACGAAAGTATTACACTGGAATAACAACGCTTGAAAAATAAACGAGGAGGTCAAAATACTTGGAGAGACTGACTGAGAACCTGCAGCAGCTGTTACCGCATGGGTATCAATGGAAAAATTGCAGCCCTTCGGCGCGAAGCCTTCGTGGAACGAAAGTCCGTTCATGTGATGCGTCCATATCGACAGGGAATTTGGAGCAGACGATCTGAAGCACGAGGAGTACGTTATCAGGGGTGATCTAACTATTTCATTCTCAATACTTACCGTCCATTATGATCATGTCCAGTTGCCTTCACGATCAATCTGATATTGTGTCTCCGGGCATAATCAACTCCAATTTTTATATGCTCCGCACAAGTCGCATTAATCACATAAATGGGGTATCCCTCTCCACTGCAGGTAACATTTGCTTGTGGAAGACAAGTATCATTGTTCCAGTTCTGTTGGACCGCGCTGACCGGATCATCTGTATGGAAGACTGCCGTGAGCCATTCGGCTTGAACCATGGGACACAGCGTTGCATTGAAAGTCGGTTGATCTGGGTGACAGACTGCACCAGGTGGAATAGGTTTGAAAAGTCGACCACTGAGAGAACTGTTCAGCGAAGCCCAGGAAGAATCACTCGGCCAGTCCGGTAACCCTGGAATTGCTCTGCAAGTCGAATGCGAAGAGTTATTCGGGGTGGGGTTTGCGTTTGCACGAACTGCAACTTGGGCCAACAAACCGAACGCTATCAAGCGTCCGAGGCTACACATAGTAAGATGAGATTTGGAGAAATAGAGCCAAAATGAACTTTCTCAAAATAACGTTCCTGGTTCTTCGCTGCACCTTAGTTTGTGTATATATATTCGGAGGTAGCATGGACGGATTCAACTCTTATGTACTTCTCGAATATGAAATCCTCATCACGACTTGAGTTTGTGCCACGTTATACAGCATGACTCTAGTGAGAAATGTGGCCTCGGCGTAAGAGTAAGCCCCGTGAAACATTGCTAAGAGACGAAGCCAAGAGAATGGCAGGTTGCTGAAGGGAAAAAGTCACGGGCTGCCAATGGGTCATTGCCGTTCCTGAAGAATTCAGATGCAAGTTCAGAAGAAATCTGCTGATCTCTTCTAATTACGGAAATTATTCGGAAAGACTTTAACTCAAGGCAGTCACGACAAGGATCCCGAAATGTCCATATTTGGAAGGAAACATGAAATTCAAGGGTCAATTTGATACTTTTGGCACGTCGGGGAATTCCGACACGGGATAGAAAATTGGAATTCGGATTACGGGCGACGAATTCTATGAATGGTTGTTCACTCCCCGCAGGCACGACCTTACATGCAGATCGATCTTCTTTAAGCGAGAAAGGTCGTCGGGATGTGTGAGTGGGATGACCCGATCGCATCTGTTTGGGACAAACCTCGCATTGGATTTCATTTGACCAACCAATGAAGTTTGGCGTTGTCAGATTCTCCTTTTCCATCTGGCAATATTTTCCGAGTCGGGATGATATGACGCTGCCAGGCGGAACGCGTGTTGTTGATGTAAAAAAATAAGTGGGGATGCTCAATGGCGATTTGGTGCAACAATACCCAAGGCGAATTCTCAATGGAGGGTTCTCCGAATGCAGAGCTGAAAATGCCCTCCGTTATGAGTCCCATTTTAAGGGCATTTTCTCAAGAAAATCTTGTAAATGACTGTTACTCAAGCGCTAACTCCTTCCATAGCGTAGCGAAATGTCATCAGTCGGGAGGATTCTCTCCCTCCACCCTTAGAGTGAGTCACGCTCATCTTATCCGACAGTCTCCAGTCAACCTCATTCAACAAATGACACAAAACTAGCGGTCTCCGAAGCCGATGGACTTCACACAGAAGTATGTGCTTGTCTTTAGCCATAAATTGGGAAGAATACGGCTGGAAATGCTGCAGCCGCTCCTGCATTTCGTGTTGTTACTTGAATTTAATGCCTTACTTATGCGGCCATGCTTGCAAAAATATAAAGCAAAGCAATCACATATTAGATGGTATTAATACAACGTATTGCTAGTCTATTGAGGCCATGAAAATCCAAATCAATCTCGCCACTTGCTCCACCAAACTACAAATAATATCTAACACCGGCCCATTCAAAAGTATCAGCTTCTAAACAAACAAGAAGTAAACTCAGAGCCCATCCTCAGCCCACCAAGCAAATCTCACGCTACAGAAATATGCATCAAGTTTTGGTTTTCCTATGCGTAGTTTGTAGGTTTGGCGGCCGCGAGCTGCTCTCCGTTTTTGAAGAATACGGATTGGCTGTCGAGAACGGGTTTTGGTTGAGTTCGTCATTTTCGGCGTTGAGTGCCGGTTGTGCTGTATTTGCCAGAGTGGCCTCGGTAAGTGACTCGGCGGTTGAGAGACTGGAGACTATTGAACCTCCCGTTTCCCAATTGCCCTGAGCATTATTGATGGCCCCTGTGTTGACGTGTCGAGCAATCAACGGGATAGAATGTGAGATATTTCAACTAAGAGAGGACAGTACTCTGGCGGTAAAGGAGTATTACATCTTGAAAGTGGATGTAGTGGGGCGAATTGGTTTGAATTAGGACTTGGAGAGAAAACTAGAAATTGAGAGACACGTTTCGGTTTCTGTCTTGAATAGATTATTAACAATTTTCCTTTCTATTTAATGGAGGTTTTGAACTCTGCTAGAATGAATCCTCTTTTTGTAATGCTTGACGAAGAGCATTTTTAAGAATGTAAATAGGTGCTTACGAGTAGGTTCAAGGATTCCAACAAAGCCCAAATAACAGGATTCCACAGGCCCCCGACTTGGGGCTCGAATTCTTAACTTGAGGTTTATTGGTTATTATCATGACCTATTTTCCAACGCATATGATAAAAGCCGTGGGGATGGGTTTGTGGCTGTGCCACCGGACTGCATTATGGGATCATCCACCCTATCGATAAAACAACTGGAACTTCTACCACTCGGCAGACAGCCCTCTCACACTCTGGGTGTGTCTGTCCAGGTAATTTAAACATCCAATGCAAATAAAACTGTCCAACCTATCCGTTGACAGGGGGCGGTGACTCACCTTCGGTCGTCAGGTACAACTCTTTGTTACTTGTTGAGGAGAAAACCTGCAAACACATACATTTCCAGCTGCTTTCGCACGCACCGCAACTTAGAAGGCTGATGAGAAACATTCCAGAGTTACTTATTCCCCTATTTTGAGATACACCTTGGTTTCGAGGTACTAAAATATTAGATTTGTCCTGTGGGAAACCAGAGCAATGAGGTCGAAGGAGACAGCATGCAATGTCACATCAGAACTCGGAACAATAATCAAAGGAGATGCCAAAGATTTATTCAAGCCAGGCAATTTTTAAAGAGTGGCCCGAACAATGTGTTGTTCAAAATTTCGTGTTACGAGGATCCATCCGCGTTTTTAAATGGTTGTTTTCCTCCAAAACAGCACCAAAAGATAGGTATTAATCAGGTCCATGCTTTACCATTACATCTTTAGCCTAGATTAGACATTCAGTCTTTCACAATGTGTCAACTACACACAGAAACCCTCTTCTACGGATGTTGCCACAGCGCTTTCGCGCAAACTACCTCGGAGCTCTGCAACTGTGGCAGAGATCTGTTCATTATGAAAGTAGAGTGGGACCGAATTCAGAATTGCCCTCATTGCGAAGCAAAGAAAGGTAGCAAATGGACTGTCCTGAAGCACCTGACCCGTGAAGAGTTCGCTGTCAGAACCGACTCTGTGCGTCGTTTCTTGGATTTTCGCAAGTGTCAACTTGTTGTTGCCCAGGGCGAAGGCCCCGATTTGTTCGGTAAGGCTGCAGCTAAGATTATTATACGAGAAGACTTCGAGGCTGTTGATAGGCTGGATTGGGACAAGGCAAGCGGCACTCCCATTCCCCTAAACTCTCGGCGAAAGGACCACCACATCGATCGATCCTACTTCATCACTCCAGAACTCAGGATTGTTCCAGCAGGGAAGATCAAACCTCACCAGGACAGTTGCGGGATATGTCTAGGCTCTCTCACATCATTTGATCCAGAAGAGAGTTGTTCAGGGCATGGGGCACGGAAGCTTCCTTGCGGTCATATCTATGGACGACAGTGCATAGTAGATGCACTTACCAAATCATTGGAGAAGATCAAGCGATGTCCTCACTGCCGCAAAGAATTCAGCATTAGCAAGGCACGGCACTACTCGAGCCGTCATTATTTTATGAAGAGCATAGATGCCGTCGAACGGAATAACGGGCAAACAGGAGTTCTTGCAGTCTGCGCCCTCTTCCCTCTCTTCCTTGCAGTAGCAATAAGTATGAATGTAGCGCCAAAACTCAATGTGGATTCTGAAGACAGAGCTCGAGGATATTCTCGGTGGAAGAGGACTCTATTAGCGGTGGTAATCTTGGCAACTTGGCCCTTGGTTCATGTTGCTTTCGCTGTACTCGCAGTTATCGGGTACTTAATACAAGTCCCCCACAACCACAATCCTCCTAGTTGGCTTTTACTAGGATTCGTGCTTGGGACTATCGCCACGTACGCTCTGCTGACAGTGTACTTCCCTCTCCCCACAGCATAAATATTTTAAAGAGCCAGACCCTCCCAGCTCTATCAGATAGGGAATTTTTTTGGTTAGCAGCCAAGAGCCTTAGTCTCACAAAAATAATTTGATAATACTATGGCTATGAACCTACAAAACCTCCCTCCGCTTTGACGTGATTGCAGTAGAATCCACGAACCACAATATGTGCTTTGCATATGTTCTCTTCAGAAACAAACCATTTTAAAGCCGCGAGATAATTTTAATTGCACGATGTCTTTATGGCCCTCTCCCTGGACCCTGAACAGTTGTTCTTCTGGCGAACAGGACACAGGTTTTGATACAAATTTGGGTCTGCCACCATTTACTCCCCAACAACGCCTTCGTAGCTGCAACCGTGCACATTTACCAAGATGTGTCCAACCCATATAGAGACCATGTTCTGGCAATGTCGCCATACTTGCTTCACACAAAGCAGTGCACAGGCCTGCGTGTGCAGCAGAGATCTTCTCAAAATGACGATGAACAAACAAACATGCCCAAGATGCCAGGCAACTGGATATCTAGAACCAGATGATACCATGTTCATGGAGGGCAGACAAGGCAGACTGGCTTCGTCGTCTGGCAAACTTCCACGCCGCCGGTGGCAAACTTCATGGTCAGCTCATCGCACCTCCCGGCGGTTTTGGTCATGTCTCGGAAAGAGATATCATAATAATGCTGTCGAGTGGACCAGTACCCTTAGACTACCAGTATATCAACTTTCTGACCGACTTCTGCGATTTCGATTCCCCAGAGGCAAAGGCAGCCCCACCCGGATTGATCCATCCAGACGACGATTGATGTGACATCCGCTGGGGATCCCTCACTTCACTGGATATTGAGGATTCCTGCTCTGCTGGCCACGTGTACGGAATAAAGTGCCTCGAACGTGCATTTAAGACTGGAAACAACTTGGAAAGGCAAAGCACGTATCGATGCATTTACTGTCGCAAGGTATACAGGCTTTCCTTCGCAAGGTTTTTATCTCTGCATCCCTTCTAGAAACAGAGTACTAAGAGACTCTCGGAGAACACTGTGACCGAATACCATCTAGTGGGGTGCTTTATGCTAATCTTGCTACACCCGTATGTGTGTGCTGTTGGCGTATCCATGGACATCGGAACTAAGGTCAATGTCTCCTCCGACCACTGGCTTAGAACTACTTCGAGGTGGTTGAGAGTTTCGCTTTGCGGTATTGCTCATTGCAGCTTGGCTCTTGGCTTTTCTGCGTTCTGGTGCCTTATATGGTATCTGTACCTCCCGGCTCCTTTTTGGATCAGGGCGCAGATTGCTTCATAGTTACGATCGCCATCTATTCCTTCTTAAGTTTTTTCCCTGCACAGTTGCTCCTCGAGAATTGAATGATCACCTCAAACCCCTGGTGTGGGAATCCAGCAATTCTGAAATTGATCCATTAAGATTGTGTCGGGGGAGATTGGGATTATCTCGAAAAGAACTCGTGAGACAGTCAGGCAAAAGAAAGGGTAACCTCCCCACACGTAGGCGAGTTGACCGGTACATTATGTATCCACTAGACTTTCTTAGCTAACTAATGAAAACGATGCATCTCAATCTATTCCTTCCACATAGCCATGGCAAAATTGAGCAGATAAAAGTGAAAGCAATGAAGATCAAAAACACGCATGAGTGAAAAACAAAGAACAATGGGACTTCCCAGAACAAAACCATTGTTTTTTTCGCATCTTTGAAGAACTCACCCCATAAACCTCGGCAACCCTCCTGTCCCCCAGAAAAACAGCGCATAGAAGAACCGTATACCTCCCATCCAGACCTTCCCGTCCCCATTCCCTTCCATTCTCGACCTTCTGAACCCAACCGTGCATCAAAATGTGCCGCGTCCACACAGAGCGTTTCCACTGGCTCTGCGCCCACTACTCCTGGCTCACAGCCTGTGAAGAAAACGGCTCCTGCAGGGGATGCAGAAAGCAACACGCTTACCGCCTGCAGATTTGCTATAATTTCGTCTGTCCTTCTTGTCGAGGCTCAGATCCTAACATCCACGAACCGCAAGACGATGGCCTCCCCATCGAAGCCAGGACAGGCGAGGATAGAAAATTATTGGAGGCGTATAAGGGCCGTGTGTATCGCCGCGGCCATGAAGCTGAAGTAGAGAGAATATCCCTCGAAAGAAGGGTGCAGGCGTACGATGATGCGTACGGGTTGTACCAGAGAGCTTACAAAGCGCGCATCGGACCGGCCATTCGTAAACCAGATCCCGATTTGGTTGGTGTTTTGGCTGCCAGAGTGCCACCGAGATGTCTCCCGTTGCAGTTCCTGCCAAACAAGTATCTCACTGACTCTAGCGAGTTCTCGTCCCCAGCTATCATGGTTGTTTCACCCGGCCTAATTCCGCGAGATTTGGATAAATGTGGTGTTTGTTGGGGAAGTCTTGTTGGGACCGGCGATGCGGCTTGTGAAGGTGGGCTGCCGAGAATGCTGCCTTGTGGACATATCTATGGCAAGAAGTGCATCTCGAAGGTTTTCGAGCAGATCAGCTCTTGCCCGTATTGTACTAGGAAGTACACAATCCGACGTCGGGGCAAACAGCGAATGGACCCTGTAAATGAGGTGATCGACGGACTGATGGAGGATCCGCGGCTTGAGCCCGAGTGGCTTTTTGCGAGGAACGTTGTGATGAGAATACTGACTCCTTTCGTTTTGGCTGTCGTGTTGACGATGGATGTGGGCCCGAAAGTCGGTGCGAATGGGAGAGAGATGTTGATCGGACGGGCCAAACTGTCAGTGAAGATAGGCGTGTGGGCGGCTTGTATTGCGCTTTCTCCAGCCATGTACGGATATCTTCTTTGGGTTTATTGGACTGGACATCATTAAATGAGCTCTCGAGATAGCGAGTAGACTTTACATAGCCTAGGAAATGAAAAATTATGTGAAAACCAAATGAAAGCAACTTATCTGACGTAAAGTGAATGTTCCAGGCTCTCTTGAAACATCGAGGGATGCAATTATTAGAATGTCCTAAACTATCGCTGAACATCGAGGGAGGCAACTTTCAGAATGTCCCTAGCTCTCGTCGTATAGTAAGGATAAAATCCTGAGAATATCTCAACCCCGCCATATACAACCAGGGATACGATTCTTGGATTGTCCCAAAATCTCCTTGTGCATTCAAGGGTAGGGGATCGACTTGACCTCTATATACCAATGCGCTTTTGCAAAATGACAGCGCCTTAGTGCTTGTGAGTCCGACACACCAATGTTTGTGCATAACTAGTTGCCGCGGATCGAAGGGGAGAGGTACAAGACAACGTAAACTCGCGTGATACGAAATATTGCCGGTCGTTGGTTTTCCGAGGCGTCGAGGGCGCGAGTATATGAACAAGTGACGCACCCTGACCACCACCAACGCTTCCTCCAGGCAACATCCCAAAGGATTACCGAATTCCACCCACAAACGCCGTAATCGCACCGAGAGTCCCAAAAGATGGCCTCATACCAAATGAAGATCATCTTGAAGGTCCTCTTCCTTCACGTAAGTTTGCCATGCCCCTTTCGCCTTCGGTCGCAAGCTACCAACTGCATCCAGCTTAGACACTACCCATTCTCTATCCATGGCATCGCCGTCCCCACCAACGCCGTCGAGCTCTTGACTTCGAAGCTGGTCTGTGACCCTATTGAAACCCACCTTACGCTCGCCATGCACGGTCTGCTCACCTGCCTCAACACCGGCAAGCACCTAAGCATCTTCGACTTTCTGGTTGATTCCTACGTCGCTGTCGCCATCCTCAACGATCGCAACTGGCAGGACGATAGACCCACCGCCACGAACGTCCATGTCATGTTGAAGCGCATTAGAGAGGAGGTGATCAAGCTGATCAAGGCTCTGGTCGACAGACACGCCGGTGTCTTGACAGGCAATATTATGGACGTCGATGGCACTTTCCCTGTAAGTACATTGTCCCTCGCCCTTCTGCAATATTTAGAATCGAGCGACTGACCCCCGCTAGGCGGCCACGAGAGCTGATTATAACAGCATGGATCCATTCGAGGTGTTGGGTATCAAGAACCACATCCAATACGCCGTAAGTGGTGCCTCTCGTTATTCGTCCTAGGACAATGTCCCAAAACTCCTGGAACCACCGGATTCGAGCAAAGCCTGACTCCCTCGTTACCCAGGTTATCTCCGAATGGAAGGATAAATTCTTGGCTGAGGTTAAGGAGCATTTCGAGGCGGAGGGCCTAGAGGAGTGCTATGAGGCACTGTACCCTGAGAGCGAAAGGCAATGAGAGGTCTTCTATGGATGGAATTGAGATACATATGCTTGGAGGTTCTGTGAACAAAGGATATGATACTGCCTGCTGGTTGGGTCAAAACGCCACAGTAGCTTTCTGTGTATCAGAAATGGCACTAGCCGGTCAATGAACAAAGCCAGCTTCTCAAGGATAAGTCTTCCATGACGGCCTCTCCATGGCCATATTTCCGTGGCACCTTCCCCATAGTTCCTTCGCCGTAGTCATGAAAGATCCACTGTTCCTTGACAAGTCTCCCATGACAACTCTCCTCCACGGAAAGACAATTGTGCAATTCCCCTTACAGCACTGAAACAAACGTCCGAAAACAAAGAAAGTCAAGCAATGCGGTTCAGTCCACAAGAGCACTTGTGCTTGCAGATCTCTCCTCTCCTCCCATGTGCCCAATGCACCCGGTGTGTTTCCAGACTTGATTTGCGTCACAGGCTTCATGGACAGTCGTTTAAGCGGAGTCAGTATTCAGACGGTTGAGCGACAGATGATCAAGCAATATGTCAAGCAATTGGAACGTTTATTGTACAAAGAAGAAGCTACAAGTACAGAGGTGGTCGAAATAAACGATCGTCACCTAGCGTCTTTTAAAAGCGGCGAAGCGCGTGCAAAGGCGGGGTCGGCCGCACGAAGTGGGCTGATGATGAGACGACCTCATGCTTTCATCCCTCCTGGTCCATCCAGATCACATCCTGTTCCTGCATGTCCCGATTGTGCATTACTGACATGACATCTCATGGGCTGATGTAGCGCTTCCTCGGTAAGGATATTTCTGTCCCATGTTTCCATCTCGTCTTTCTCTCTTTCTTGCTTCTCTTCTATCGTCATCGACGTCGAGCAACAGCATCAATGGCAGCAACAATGCGCATCTCCTCTCAAGTTTGGCCAATCTGGCTCCCAAGAGCAGTAGCTCGGGCTGAGCACCGAATCCTGAACACAAGCCTCTTCTCCGCATTTTCAAAGCAATCCATTCCACCGGTCCTCTTCTCAGCAACCTTTCGGACTCTCCTCTCGCAAACGCAACCAGCGGAATCAAATACCACGAGCTGGCCATTCAGACCTCCCTCAAAGCTCTACCATTTGAGCTCTCGGCAACAAATCCGAGCATTCTCAACCCCTCCTACAAGTCCACCACCAATCCAGCCTTCCCACGAAGAATCTACACTCCCAATGTGGACACCACCAACAGACGCCCACTCAAAACCGGTAACAATAATCGGAGCAGGCGTGCTGGGACGAAGACTGGCAACCCTCTGGTCCAGCACCGGCAGACCAGTAAACCTCTACGACCCTTCTCTCCCAGCCCTCGAATCCGCGACAGCCTACATCGCAGACGCACTATCCACATATTGTTCAGAGCAAGGGACACACCCCGGCCACGTACACTTCACTACCTCTCTCCACGACCCCTATATCGTAAATTCCTGGATGGTAATTGAAGCCGTACGTGCATTCCTTCTCTCCCCTACTCTCAATTTTCCATGATTTTGCTCTTCAGGCAATACCAACTCCCCGTCCAGGCCCCTGAAGACCTCGACCTCAAGATCTCGATCCTCGGACGGCTAGACCGCATGCTCCCCAAATCCACAATAATAGCCACGAACTCCGCCTCCTTCCGCTCAGGGGAGCTGGTATCTGAAGTCCGCAACCGTTCTCGCGTCCTCAACACCCTGTATTACATCCCGCCCAGAAACCGATGTGTAGAGATGATGAGCTGTGGCTACACATCCCCGGAACTCATCGCCTTCCTCCGTGCTCAGATGGAAGAGATGGGCATGCTACCTATGGTGGTAGGCAATGAGAGTACCGGCCTGATATTCCCCCGTATCTTCGGCGCGCTGAAGCGCGAGACTTTGAAAGTGGGTCTATGCCTGTCCTCAACCATCCCCCCTTCCCTCTCCCCCTTCAAATACCCCCTTTCCCCAACTCACCTCCAAACTGATCCCTGCTGACATCTACTGTTCATGTATTATCCTCAGGCGCCGCAACACCCACCGAAATCGACACGCTCTTCACCGACTTCTTCGGTGCCCAGAAGGGGCCCTGCGCGATGATGGACGCGGTTGGCCTCGACACAGTCGCCAAGACCGAGCGCCATTTCTTGGCTGAGGAGAGGGGAGAGGAGGGAGAGGTGTTGGGGCTGGAACTCGAGGGCAGGGTGCCTGGGTACCTTGCTTGGCTTGAGGCGGAGTTTGTTGAGAGGGGACGGGTGGGAGAGAAGAGTGGGGAGGGACTTTTGGTGGGGAAGGGAGGAGAGGAAAAGGGGGAAGGGAAACATAAGCCGGGCGAAGAGGTGTGGCAGGAGCATGCTGTCGATTTGTCTTGTTTGTGAGGGGTGACTTGCGGCCTGGGTACGGCGTCAGGTGTTGGGAACGGAGCGAGCATAAATGGTCGGAAAATACCGTGTAAATGGGCATGGAATAATGACGGCAGACACAAAGTCTTCGAAATATGATTCTCTAAAAGTAATTGCCTGTCCTGCACTGCAGTCATCTCACAATAAGGGCATCCATCACCATCATCTTTTGAAAACATAAAGCTCCGACCCAATGAACGCCACATAGCCCCCCAACAATAACGGACCCATCCACCGCCGGCCACCCATAAACACAATAATGGCCAATACCAGGGAACAGGTCCACGCAGTCCATACCTCGAAGCCTAACAACTCATCGCCCAGCTCTCTGCTATATTCTCCCTCGCCCTGCGAGATAAAGAGCACACCCAAGCAGAGAGTGAGGAGGAAGATGTTTGATCCAGCTGTGGTAGCAACCAACATGCCGCTATGCCCCTTCACGCCTTCGAGTGTCGAGTGAAGCTTCTCTGGGAGCGTGGTAGCGAAAGCGAGGATCGTCATGCCAACAAGAGTGCCGTTCAGGTGGAAATCAACCGCGAGGGCGCTGGCACTGTGTGAGAGAACGTAGCCGGATAGAGAGAGAGCCATGAGTCCAACCACAAACATCGTTAGGTGGTAAACGAGGCGGTACTGTGTTGGCCCTCGGGTGTTCTCTCTTATGTCGTTTATGAGGGTTGATCTCCGCTGGTACAAGGGGCGTGGGGAAATCGGGGAAATCGGAGACATCAAGGGTGACACTTCAGATGGAGGGACTTGCAGCGTTGCACTGTAGATCGAGATATTCAGTCTTGGACGTTCAGCCTCGTTTGGTGTCTCTTCGTCTTCGCCATCTTGCGGAGCAGTCAGAAATCCCTCGTAGACTGCTGAGCCCATGGAGAACAGATATATCGCGAAAAAGACCAGGAAGAAGATCCCGCCGGTGAAATCCAGACGCCCGCCATATGCTAGCAGCGTGAAGACAGTTGTGACCAAGAACAATGCCCCAGCATATATCTTCGAGCTGCGATCGAAGACGATGACGTGCTCGGGGAAGAGGAGGAGTCCGAGGGCGAAAGCGCCTAGGATGTTAGAGATGGAGGACCCGACTACATTGCCCAGGCCAATGGAGGAGTGATTCTGCAGGATCGATGCCACGACGACAGCGAGCTGGACAAGTTAGCAAGGTTTGTTTATTGGGAGAGGGTGCCAGGTACCTCTTCCCATTCTGATCCTGCTATGAGCAGAGCCACCAGCGTCTCTGAAACGCCAGCGCGTTGTGCGATGATTTCACCGTGGTCGATGAAGAGGTCTGCGCCATTTTGGAAAACGAAGAGGCCTGAGATTAAGCAGCAGCTATTGTAGCCGATGCTCTCCCAGTTCCACTCCATTGCGGTATGCAGGGTTGCTCATGATCGTGGATTCATCCCGACATCAAGGAGGGGTTTGGTTGTTGGGAGTCAGAGCGAAAGCTCCGGGAAGTGGCTGGTTCTGCCATTGTGGAATCTTGAGGAAGGGTCGAGGGGAGTAGGGAGTTCTTGCTTCTCTTGGGTTCTGCTTCGTCGACTGCTGATGTTCTGGTCGTTGTTGGTAACTCGAGGTTGTCGACCGCTCTTGCCTGAAGTCTCAAGCCACAGCGGATCCTTGTCAGCGATGTCATCTCAATTCTTTTGAGACAACCCCACAGCTTTCTTTTTCTTGCCGTCATCAGGTATCAAGGGCAGACATCGCCGGCGCTATTGTCGACAAGATCGTTCCAGCTATGTAGCGGACGTCTGTTGTTGATTGAGTCGATTAAGCCCTAGAACTTTACAATCCCCAGAACAGTCAACTGGAATAGGGGAAATAATTTCCGCATCCAAGCCTAGGCCTAACACAACATAGTTCCGGATCAAGAAGGCCAAGATACCAGAAGAACCGAGAAGCAGAATAATGAAGGGATCCAAGCCCTCTTCGGATGTCGCCCAGCCATGTGCTATATCAAACGGCCCACGAGAATGCCGACGAGGCTGCTCACGAACGTGCAACTATCTGGACGGAGAGCCGGGACTGCGAAGAAGATTTCTTGAGACAGGATGTTGAAGGTCAAGGTAAAGCAAAAGAACAGCGGGGTGATCGTTCTTCATTGAAGGCTGGATGCGCGTGGAGGAGACATTGACTTTTCGCCGAGTTGACGTCTGCTGATGGGGGAAAGATGGATCTGCGAATCGAAGGCTTGACACGGGTATCTGGTGAGGGCGGGGAGATGCCGTTGGCTCAAAACAACGGCCAGTTCCAGCAGCAGCATCTTGTACTGTAGGTGATCCTCCATTGAGGTAGCCAGTTGTTGGTTCTGTTGGTTCTGGACAATTCGTTCCTGGCTCTCCTGCCGTGTAACATTGCACGCATCCGCCCTGGACGTTGTGCCGCTTCCCATCCCTGCAGTCGATGTCATCTTTTGATTTCTTTTTCTTAGTGACCACACATATTAAGGCCACGCCTCACCAGCGTCATTGTCGGCAAGGTCGACGAGGGGCTTGCCAATGGGATGGCATTTGCACGCAGCTGAAGTCTGGCGAGCGAATCGTGTCATGCATATCACCTGATATCTCATGTCATTGATCTCCGCAGGGCGTGAACGTCCAAAAGGGTTCAACAGCATATCTCCCTCCAAATGCTTGCGAGTCCTTCTCTCGCAACCTCACCTTCGTACTCATATCGTCAAATCGCAGATCAACAGCAATACAGCCTTTATTTCAGAGGAGCAGAAGGTGCGAAGTACTTGATCATCACACTCGCTCCGAACCTAATCTCACGGCAGCGATTTCTGGGTCTCAATCAACATAATGGCCGCAACGTCGATGGAAATTACTCCCCAAAGGGTCACGGGCGGTTGTCTATGTGGTGGAGTGCGATATGAAATAAACTTCTCACCTGAGCACGATTGGATGCATGGGGTGAGTTCTTGCTTCGAGAACCCCTCAATGTCATTCTGAACAGCAAGGACTGACCGCACCTCTAGCCTCACACATGCCAATGCACCCAATGCCGAAAGAATTGCGGTAGTCTCGTATATAACTTCCACACTGTGACGGCTTCGGAAATCACGTGGACCTCGCAAGCAACATATGCAGAATACAACTCTTCTCCAGGATGCTATCGAGCTTTCTGTCAGAAATGCGGTTCTCCTCTTGCCTGGACAAATCACGGGGTGAACACTGATATCGAACTCGCTGTTGGCACCGTTGACGAGCAGTTCCTGCTAGGCGAACGGGATGCCGAGGGCAAGTCTCTTGGAGCACATGGCATCGCGCTGGCAAATCCAGAAGCAGACCATTTCTATGTCAGGAATGAGATCGCTGGAGTCACGGATAAAGTTGCTTCGTCAGGGACGAGATTTTGGAAGGGAAGCAAGGAGGGCCCGATGGCAAAATCTGCGGGCTGAGGACTGGCTCGTCGATCAACGCACTTCGGTTGCGAGCTGTGGCTGTATTACAAATTCGGGGACAAGTTTCTCATCTGCCGCTATTCGAGACATAAGCACGCCTTCGACAGTTGTTGTCGTTTTGGAATTATTCTTGTTTTACATGGAGTTTGGAACCTGCAAGTCGAGACCCTCGAAGTTCGCGATGGAAATGCTGTCATGTAACCTTTTATTGTATTCTGATATAACTAACCTGTTCCATCTTTTCACAAATTGAAGAACTTATATTCGGGATCTTTCGCTTCTTTATTGTTATGACTATGCAAAGTGAGTGAACGCTATTGGGTTGTTGGCTTGCTTCACTTCTCGAGGTTATCAACGCCATCGGGCCGGTAGTTGTATTTGCTCCTCACATATCGACGTTTCCTCAGCCGACCCCGCTCTTTAAGTCTTTGGACTTTCATAAAGTCGTATGAAACGGCCAAGGCATCCGAAGGCTGTCCCTAGCTGCCCGGCGTTTCTCCTCCTGATCTCAAGCTTTGGCTCTGGGCCTCGAGTGCCGGTCATTTGGTCGGATTGCCGGAAACAGCTGTTCAACTTTGTCCTATCCCAACCCGTTAACCAATGGTGCATTATATATTCTGATACCGCTCAGATTCTTCGGTGCAATGCTTCATTATAACTTACAAGCAAACCCACTAGCGAAAAGCCTCACTCTCCTCTCAAAACTTAGCTGTAAAAAAAAATCAAATTTGACAAAGTTCTAAAGTAAACGTAAGTTACACAATTTGTGTATTTGAAAGGGGAGAGAGGAGTAACGTACGGCTGGGTTTAGACACTGAAAAGTTTGTTATTTTGCAATATACGACCCGAACTGCGTACACATCAGACGAAACAAAAACAATTCAAAAAAAGGAAGATACCCTCTATTTCTGGGCGGGCTCAAGTCGACTAAACGAAATGTTAGTTATGTTAAATTCAACAAGTGAGAGCGGCTTACAGTCGTGTTTTTAGACAGTAAAAGTTCGTTATTTTGTGATATAGGACTCGAAATGCAGGCGGAAATGTCGAAGAGCTTCGATTACGGGGAGGTTCATATTTGATTGTCCTGTGAAGACTGGTACAATGGAATTTGGTGATCGGGAGAAATGTCCATATCAGATTGAACTGTAAAGACTGGTACAATGAAGTTCAGTACAAGACCAGGAATGAGGAAAAACAAGATTTGGGAGACAAATAGGACCGAGTCGCTCGACCTAAATATGAGCATAAAGCACCAATTTCACCACACATTCACTGAAGGGAAGGAGGACCTTCAATTCTGAGCAACACAATTTTACTTTACTAGTTTTACACCGAATTGTTTTCATGTCAGAGCTGCGCCCCGACCAGAAGCCGAATGGGAAATGCAAAAAAACGAATCTGAAACTTTACTTCCTTCATGAACCGAAGAAGCTAATGCAGACTCCCCCACTTCACCCTCTCAACGCCAGAATAATCAAAACAAGCCACCCTCGAAATCGTACACCACTACACCACCACTCAAGCACCATTAACAACAATGCCGTTCTCTTCCGTCTTCTCTCCATTCTCATCATAGACCACATGACTAAATGCCTCAAAATCGCCGCTATCGACTAACCACTCCAAATCCTCTTCGTCTGGGCCGAGCTTCGCCATCAGGCCGTTGCCCGCTTTCGGGTATGGCGGGCTAGCAGGCGTGCTCTCGCGGCTCTCTTCTCCGCCTTGGGCGGCTAGTGTTGGCGGTGCGGAAGAGGCATGGGTGAATGAGGGCTGGGAGAAGGATGATGATGCAGGAGGTGTTTGGCCGGGTTGGATCTTGCGGATGAAGTTTATTGGTGCATTTGGGTTGGCTTCGGCGCGGGAGAATAGACCAGCAGTAGAAGTTGCGGAGGGGGGAAAGGGTTGTTGTGGGTAGACGTTTGTGCGGTTTGGAGCAGTAGCCGAGGAGGGACGTGTTGGGGCATTGCTGGTGGTGGCGGGGAAGATGGGAAGACTAGGGTGAAGGACTGTGGCTTGCAAGAGGAGAGAGACTAATTGCTGGTGAGAAAGGGAGTTCAGGTATGCTCTTTTCTATCCACTGTCAGAATGCTCAAGGATGCCAATAAAGATGGGGATGTGTACCTCGTCAGCGCTCTTGCCTTGCCAGCTGACTGCTTTGGCCGACTCAGGTGTCTTGGACTTGACGCTCTTCTTTCGGCTGCAGTCTGCGCAGAACCATTGGGAGAGCTCGTCTTTGACAGCTTCTTCCGAGACGACTGGGTCGTGACACATTTGGTGCCAGCCTAGGTTGCAGCCATCGCAGAATACGATCATGTTACTTTGGGGACTGTGGCCTCGGCCGCATCGCTTGCACAGGGCTTGTTCCTGAGTTCTCTTTGAAGGGGCTCTTCTCTTTGACGAATTCTCGTAAGCTGCGGGGACAAACTGTGCGGGCTTGTTGACTTGTCGTCCGGACTGTGTGATCTTCGGCAATTCAGTAGCTTCCTCAGAAATATCCGAATCAGAGTCTCCGCCAAGCTTGGACATGTTTTCGTCTGATTCCTCCGTGCTTTCACTCTCATCCTTAACTCGCTTTCTCTTTGTTCCGGCTTTGGCTTTTGGCTTTCCAACTCCTTTGCCCTTTCCTCCACTTGCAGATCCAGCAGCACTACCGGACGGGGTCGCAGATGCTCTTTGTGCGGCTTTGCTACCAGATCCACCTCTGCCTCGCCCCGTATTTATAGGCGTAGTTGGCATCTCCATGTTTAATGTAGTCTTCATGCCCATCAACACACTGCGCCTCATGTCCTCATATCCTGGTGGTGTGCCCGTGATGCCAATCGAAGACAGAGACGACGAGCCGCTCACGCCAGAGTTGATGCGCTTAAGGATCATCTCGGTGGCAGCAGAGAACTGCGGAACGTATTTGGGAGGAGATTCGGACATTGGAGTGTCGCTGCTGCCGCTCGCAGCGGGGGGATTAGAAGGTCCATCAGACGCCATTGTGTTGGTATCGGGATCGGGGTCGGGATCGCTTTGGAGATCTGGCAGTTGTTTGCGCCGGAGCTCGCACAAGCTTCACCGGACACTAACAGCGATCAATATCACCTCAGTGATGTAGAGCTTGTGTCGAAGTTGCAGCCTCAGCTACACCGAAGTCAATTGGATTGTTCCTTCTGTCGGAAGAGCTGCAAGAGACTCGTACCTCAGAAACAAATGTTGCGGGCGTTACCGAGTATCAATCGCATGCCATTGACACCAGGGAAGTCGTCTTTGGTATCGCGGACGGACTGGTGACCAAGATCTCGATGGATGGAGGTCCTGGAGATGTGTTTGTCTGAGAAGCACAGAAAGAAGTCATATGCGACGGCAAAAATGAAGCGATCCCGGCACGTGATACCAACATCATGTGACCAGACTAATTTCCAATTTCTAAAGGCTTCCTTCCTTTTGAACTTGCTTTGCAAACGCGAACCCACACGCACACCTCTCTGACTTGTATTTGGATGCATAATGATATGTATTTCTCGCTGCATACATAAAAATCTCGGTTCAGCCACTGCCACCCATTTTCCCGAGCGCTTATTGATTCCCCAAGCTCAGTCACGGATCGCAGTCCATGTCAAAGAATTCCTCGCCGTAACTCCAAAATCCATACGAAAAATTCCACTCAACGCCTTTCGATTTATGATATATGGTATCATATGCTGCTTCCTCATCTTTCTGCAATTTAGTGCTCGGAAGTCAATAACCCCTCCACCTCGATCACACATGTTGTCCAACAACTACACCCCTAGGCCCTCCACAAATAATTCTCGACTTTGCCTTGTACTTTCGAAGTCCCCACGAAACCATAGCTGTTTAGCAAGCTCCACAGGAGTTACTCTTTCCTCGGGGAGAAAGATCAACGCTTCTCGCAGCAGCATCTCCAGGCAATTCGCTTCGACGAGAGAGATTGTCGTCCCTGTAGGCTCGAGGAACTCTGCAATACTAAGGGTGACGGGAACGGCCATGCTCTCAGGTGCTGGGTCAGAAATTGGCCTTTCCGCAGGAGGGTCAACCCTCGTTGCTGGAATTGCAGGAACACCTGTCGAGATCCCTTCCGACGCGATGCTTTTCTCTCCACTTTTGGCATTCGAGGAACCTGAGGCAACCGCTGATCCGGAATTGTTCTTGTTTGATGACCCAGATGTTGATTTCTCATGGCTAGAGCTAGAGCTTGGAGGCTTGTTGATTTGTTCGATTACGTCGGCAGCTTCGCTCGTCGTGAGCTCCTCCACAAGTGCAACCAGTCGATTGGTACTTTCTCGATGTGCCTGAGATGCTGTCGGTACTTGCTCGCTTTCGGTTTCGATGACAGTCTCGTGCTTGAGATCGTGGTTCTTGTACAATGACGGATCAGAAGCGATATCTCCGTCGTGCATTCCAATCTGCATAATTTGATGATGCAGATTTCCTTGCACAGATTCTGCCATCTCCCCACCCACTTGAACTTCGATATCATACCACTAATAAAAAGGTCAGAAAGGCATGAGTGATTAGTTGAGATCAATTACGTTATGGCCGTCCTCCCATTCCACCCACCATTTCTCCGGAAGCCTTCCAAGCATCTGTACCATCGTCACAAGAACCTGGTCTCGAGTTGGAACCCCTCTGAACCTGAACAGGGATGCACCTGTCCGGATTTCAAAGATCGTACACCCCAAGGCCCAAGTGTCCGAATTTACGCTCCTAGGACTACCAAAATTGAACTCGGGAGCGCAGTAAGCTATCGGGGTTCCGATGTCCACTGAGGAGTGTTCTTGGAGAAACGCAATGCCAAAGTCGATGATCATGATCTGATCGGAGATCCATTGAGGGTCCACCAGCTTCTAAAGAAGGAGGGCAGTCAGTTGGTGCCTGATTTTGCCGAGTGAAGTTGGACTTTCGACTTGGAATCAATTGACTTACCATATCGATCGCACTGATCGTATATCTAGGGCCAGATAGACTGTCTACTCCTTCTACCGCCCGGTGCAGATCTTGGGTCCGAGGCTTGCCCAATCTCTCGTGGATTTGCTCGACCGTCCATTCATCGATGTTGGCAAGTTGGAGGAGGATGTTCGCGGCTGTGAAATCTGATTCCAGCACGTTAATATCCGCAATGTTCACTCAGAGAACACAACACGTACCTCCGTGAACCGTCCCTGTTGAATGGATATAAGCTAATCCTTCTGTAGCTTGCAGCGCAACTTTCCTCGCTACCCCACTCCTAAGCCGTCGACTCCCACTCGTCAACCCAGGACATTCATTGAATTGCTTGATACTCGGGCCCCCTACCTCACTCACAACACAAAGGTGGTGGCCATTCGGTCCATCAATCCAAAAATGATCCAGCATACTCATCACAAAAGCTTTGCCCACGCTCTCCTTACTGCTTCTCAATCTCCTCAAGATTTCAACTTCAGGACAATCACGTGAAAGCCTGGCAGCCAGGATCTTCAGCGCAACATATCTCTGACGAATCTCATCTCTCGCAAGCCAAACGGTGGCAAACCCTCCATGTCCAAGCTTGTGAATGACGGTGTATCGCTCTTTCTTGAAAGTATCGTTCAAATGCACGGGATGGAATCCACCAGTTCGGTAATTCAACGTTTCGATGCGGGGGGCCCGGACTGACATTTCGACGGCAAACGTGCAGATGCAGATGCGGGGACGAGATGCGGTTATCTGGAAGGCATTTTCAATTCCCTTGACATTTGATCGAGAAACGGGAAATTCGCCATGGTGGGTCGTCCACTGAGGTGGGGTGTCGAAGATGTAGCCGGTGACTAAGCCATGCCTCGATATGGCCGCCGCCCTTCGCCAGATCGCCGATCCAGCAAAGAGAGAGGAAAGTATTGGGATTTTGTGCAATGGCTGATTTTTAATACTAGAGAGGGTAGTGCGTTGTGTGAGGGTGTGGGCACGGGTTGTTTTGGTATAATAGGGGAAAAGGGGGGAAGCGATGCTAGGCCGGAAAACTGCCTCGCCGCTTGAAGGTCGCTGAACATTACTCGGTCCGGCACAGACCTCCCATACATACAATCTCATTCTTCTATAGATCTATCAAATCTATCGTACAGCTCCCTCAGCTTTGAGCTTCTTTATCTCACTCCCACTCAGTCGCAAAACATCCCGCAAAATCTCATCAGTGTGCTGTCCCAACATCGGCGGCACGCTCCGAATACTCGGTTTACTCTCGCTGTACTTCACAGGCGTATTAACCATCTTGATCGGCCCGCACCACTCATGCTCCATCTCTTTCACCATGTCTCTTGCTAACACATGTTCATGGTTCAGCGTTCCTTGAATATCGTTCACTGCTGAATATGGCAGCCCTGAGCCTTCGAAGACGTCCAGCCATTCTGAGGTGGTTTTGGTCTGGGTTATGGCTTCGATTAAATCGTCAAGTTCCACGCGGTTCGCCACGCGGGAAGTGTTGATGGCAAACTTGGGGGAGGTCTTCCATTCGGGATAACCGAGACGGTCGCAGATGATTCCGAAGAGACGGTCGTTGCCGCCCCCGAAGAGGATATCGCCATCCTGGGTCTTATAAGCTCTGTATGGGACAATCGATGCTATTCCACATTATCAGTCCAAGCTTTTCCCTGCCAAAATGGTGTGGAACGCGCACGATGAGCAGTCCCCCATCGCCCCTGATCCTTCTCCCCACTAACCAAGCAACTGCTCGCCAGATTCGCCAGCGTCGCAACCTGGCAGTCGCTCAGCGCAACATCGATATGCTGGCCCCTCCCACTCTTACCCCGCGCAATTATCGCGGCCATGATACTGTTACTCGTGTACAACCCCGTTGTCAGGTCGGTCACTGCGACGCCGACTTTCACAGGTGGTCCGTCCCGAGAACCGGTTATGTGCATCAGCCCCATCTCGGCTTCGACCATTACGTCGTAGCCTGCTCGATTGGAGTAGGGCCCTGTCTGTCCGTACCCGGTTATGGATGCGTAGATCAGGCGGGGGTTTATTGAGGAGATGGTGGCATAATCGAGGTTGTATTTTTGGAGCGTGCCCGGGAGGTAGTTTTCGACTAATATATCAGCTTCGGCGGCGAGCTTGTGTAAGATTTCGACGCCGGCGGCGTGTTGGAAGGAGAGCCCCAGGGACTTTTTGTTGCGGTTTACCTGTGGAGAATTGGTCCGTTGGGGTTGGGGAAGGAGGAAGAGGGGTATATACACACGGCGAAGAAATACGCGCTCTCTCCTGCTCCTTCTTTGCCTGAATCGGGGAGATATTTGGCGTATGGTGGGCCCCATGCCCTTGTATCGTCGCCTCGAGTGGGATGCTCGATCTTTATTACTTCTGCGCTGGGGGTTGTGAGTCGTGGTGTTTGAAGTTCGAGGGGTGGACGACCTACCCCAGATCGCCGAGGATTTGCGTGCAGTACGGCTAGGGCAGACTCAGCACGTTTTCTATAGGATTTAAAGAGGAGAACCTACGCCGGCAAGAACCCTCGTCATATCCAGCACTTTGTAGCCCTTCAGAGGGAGCGTCATATCGTCCGCGGCGACCTCGGCAAATCCTCTGCGCCGGACGCTGTAGATCGCCGAGCGCATGCCATTGGGATGTGAAACTGCTCGTGAAGCTCGGAGGAGTGAGCGAGGAAATATTGATGGTGCCATGATATGTACAAAGAGATGTCTGGGTGGAAGAGAAGCTTGGAAGAGGAAGTGTAATGTTGCCCCGCTACCCCAGATTTCTCGGCTTATTTTCGGGCCGGGCGAAAATGGTTTCATCCCAAGTCTGGACGAGGGACAACCTTCACTTTTCCATCACAAACATGGATTTTATGTGTCGTGATATTGCTCAACCAACAGCTCTTTACGCTACTGTGAGAAAAGAGCCGTTCCAGCAATGTCTTTCAATTCTTTCACGGAGCCCTCCTCAATCTATATAAAAGCCTTCGTTCTCTTGAATTCCCACACTGATCCTGCCGAGCCGCTGGAAGGCAAGGCTGTATATCCCAGAACTCTTTCGATGAATACCAACACCGCCATTGCGGATACCTCTCTGAATCGCTCTGTCTCCAGTGTTAAGGTGTCGTGGAGAAGTCCCAGTCCGAAAGCCGATTCGTGCAATTTGATCTCGACAATAGGCGGCTGGATCGAGTCCATCATCAGCACTAATTCTTGGCCTATCTTTCCATCCCTCATTCTACAATCGGAGGAACAATGTTATAGGTTTGGAGAACGGGGATACTTACTCGGTCACTTCTCCCAGTGTCTCCTCGACACCATCTCTTCAAGTACTGGTCCAGGCTGGCCAGACTGGGTGCGTGACTTCCTTGGATGACAACTCTTTGTCTGCCTTCCTGTTTCACCACGATCCAGTACGGTGGGCTACGTGTTAATTCTTCTGGTCTTGGGATTCTTGCGAGTTCTGGAATCACATCTGGTCCAGTGTCTTTTGCCCCGGGTGGTGCCTGCTTCTGGCGGGATGGAACCACGGTATGGCTTTCTGGAGACCCGAGATCGAGGTCAGCCCAGTCTTCCGCATCTTCGGGTGCCAGTATGCTGGTGCCAGCTGGCTCGTCTAGCTCCGTAGCACCCAACATAGGAGAAGGAGCGAAGAGTCTCAGGAGATCGGAGGTGAAACCGGCCAGGACAGTACTCTCCTGCGGTATTTTTCCCTTGGGGAGTGCGATGACGAATATGGATTTGTTCGCATCCCATGCTGTGACTGGACGGGTCGATTTCCCCGAGACCTGTAACTTATATTAATGTTTGAATGAGCAAGCTGTGGACTGGAAAGTACCTCGATCATGAGATCAAGTCTATTGACATGTGTCAGAGCATCCAGCAACTTCTCGACTGCGTCTTCATTTTCCTCGCTCTCCAACCAAGACATGAAAGCATCGCACCAGTTAATGATGACTGTCGCTATACTTGGTACGAACGTGGCGTTGTCGGGGTAGAAGGCTTGCAGTGTCTTCCACAGCATCAGCCATTCCGGGTCGAGGGTGACCGGGTAGCCCAGAACCTCTTTCACAGCTTCTTTTTTGAGTACGAGCGGTGATTGTGGAGATTCGATATGGTCACGAATATTCTGTCGAATGCGCGTAGCTCTGAGGACAATGTCAGTAAGTAAATCGCGAGCTTGGGAACCTTGAGAAGTCTCACAGAACAGGTTGGCTTGTGCTTGCAAATGCCATAGCGGTGTTTCTCAATTTGGTGGATTTTATGAGATATTTTTGTGATTAATAAATCTGAGGGATTTGAAAAATCCCCTTTCTACTTCTGCAGAGCTTCGGAGCTCGTTGAGCTGAGGGGTGGTGAACCTGTCCCGTTCCGTGTGGAAGGGATGGCACGGACGTCCAGCACCATTCAGGTCCCCTGAATCCTATTTCAGGCTAGTCGGCAAGAAGCGAATGCCACAACACGGCCGTCTTTGTCTTTGAAACCCGCTTTTTTTTTGGCCTTCCTGTAATCTTCCTTCAGAAAAGCCTTCGAAATCCTTAAATGTCATTTTAGTTGCGGTCAGTCCTCTACAAGGTCAGAAAGACACGGCACCGCTCTGCTCATTCGCTGGGAAAAGTTTCCTGCTCCGTGTTATGCCGCCTTCAAACGCCATAGCACACCGCCCAGGGGGTCCGGCAAGGCTGAGTACAGTCTGCCTTGATGTTGCCTTGACGAGACGTTGCTAATCAAGGGGTGAAGAACGTCACATGGCCAGGTACCTCGGATTTATATAAAAGGTGCACTTTCATCCTGAGCGAAACCAAAATTCACATCTGCTCCTCTTCAAATACCCAACAATCTTCTTCTTCACGTTTAAAACCAAAACAAGGCCGTGATCATGTCTGCCGATAAAGCCCCAGTTGAGAAGCTCCCTCTCACTGCTCGCAAAAATGGTAAGTCAATATCAAGCTCTCCCACTCCTCAGTCTACATATTAATCCTGGTCATCTAGTCCGAGATGGCTGGGAGGCCAAGAAGGGTGCCCTCGAGGAGCAAATGCTGACTCTCCTCGGTGTCCCGTGGAAGTTTGAAGTCAATGCGCTCGCAATATATCCCTACGCCGAGGCAGATTCCTACGGCCACAACTCGCCCGGCGATTGTATCTTCGCGTAAGTCCCCAGCCATCCTACCAGAGTCAATCTAACAATTAAAAAAAAGGTACTTTGATGCCTTCGTCTGGTCCCTCAAGAACAGCTTCATTGAGTACCACGGCGACGCTGGCAAGGAAGAGCTCAACACCGTATGCCCAACCCACACCGTGACTTTCCTTGCATCTCCCAAGTTCTCCTACTGTGGCTGCGACGTCCAGGACGGCCAATTCCGTCTGCTCTTCCACCCAGAAAAGCTGGGAACCAACATCAGTCACGTCGGCGAGAAGATTGCAGAAGCACTCTCCACCGCTCCTCAGCCAGAAGGTGCTTCCACGCTCAGCTACGCTGCACGTCACTCCATCAAAACTGAGTACACCACCAAAATCATCCCCATGCTTGAAAAAGCCCGCACCTTGCTCCAGAATCCAAAGCTGGAATTCCAGCCGGGATTTGAGGCTCTGGGTGAGAAGCTGAAGAATGGAAAGGATGTGCGTGATGATTGGGAAACTAATCTTGGTGACTTTGCACGGAAGTATTATGAGAGCTTCATTGATGTGCTGGAGAGGGAGAAGTTTGGAGAAGATGAGATGTTGAGAGAAGGGCTTGAGGAAGGTGTCCCGAAGGGAGTTGTGCAACTGAAGCTGGTTGATGTGTTGAAGAACGGGGGGTACAATGAGACTGTGTTGGATGATGGAGTTTTGAGCATTCAGGTGAGTTTCGTTTATCATGTTTTGAAATGCTTTGCTGACTCTGTTGATGTAGACTACCCCTGATCGATGGGGAACGAACATCCACTATTCTTGCGAAAAGCTGGTTGACCTCTTGTAACAAGCATCAACCCAGGCACCAGCCAGTGTATCACGCTTGGAGGCTATATTACGCAATGATGGAAGGTGTTGGGGGAGGAGCTAAAGGGGAGACCTCATTCAACCATGATGACTCATACAATTCCAAGTCCCCTTTCAAAGTTCCATTATTCTCAGTTCACCGCTCAAATTCTGTCCGTGCATCACGCTCGTATAATCGTATTCATGCGGTGCCCAAATAAATTGCCTAATCGGCGTCCCCAAGCGCGTTGTGGCTGCATGAGCTGAACTTTCAGAAAATCCTTCGCCGGTTCCGTACCTGCATGACCCCACATTCGCTTTTTGCTTCTTCCTCCCGTCTCCACAAAATGAAACCGAACTACATGTACACAAGGACGCTGGCTTAAAATTTAGATGTCGTTATGAAACCTTGGCGGGGACTGCCATGTATATCCCCTCCATCGTGACCCATAGACACGTAGCGCGAACATCGGGAGCAAGAACGCAACGTTCAGCATCGCGAAGACGAGCCATGCGCATTGGAATTTGATTCTGTTGCCAAGAGGAATCCTGTTCTTGTGTTTAGTTGTCGAGGTTGGGGAGATGGCCTTGGTTGTGACTCACGCGTAGAAAGAGATGAGCGCAGAGAAGATGGAGCGGAAAGTATTAAGCACTGTTGAGATTTCTGCGCTTTGCGGTTTATAACACTGCATAACCTCATCAGCAACAACCTTTCTCTCTTTCTTGGAAATGGAATGAAGGGAGATGAGGTGAGATGGCTCACATCGGTGCAATAAGCATACACCACCGTCGTCGCAACCTGCAACCCAAGACACGCAATCCCCATCCCAAACGCCGCCCCAACCCACCCAACTGTCTTGTAATGCGTCAAGCACACCCCATCGATAATCACGCCTATCGGTAACAATAGTGCAAGCCAAATAGCATCGAGTCTCGCCTCTGGTTTCCGCACTCCGTCATTCTTCTTGGCATATCTATAAACCATATAATCCGTCACCCAACCGGCATTGAATTCTCCAATTAGGCACCCGATGAGGAGAGGGATGGAAAGTAAGAGGCCAGTTTGTGCCACGTTGAAGTGGTAGAACTTTGCGAAGAGGGAAGAGCCGGTTGCGGCAAAGAGCACGGTCCCGTAGCCGAAGGAGATCATATAGTACAGGCCAGGGATAAGGATGGAGATGTATTTTAGCATGTAAAACGGCTCGAGAAAATCTGTTGCTCTGAGGTTGCGGTCAGCGAGGCGACCGCGTTTAAAGAGCAGGAGGTCGGTATATGATGCTGGTTTGTAGTCAGAGGAGGATGTGGTGGTGGATTTGCGGGAGTACAAGGTTTCGGGGAGGCAGATGAGGGTGATGAGAAAGGTTCCCAGTTGGATGTAACCCTAGTGATGTTAATTGATGGTTTTAAGAGGGGAAAGGAGGTGACGAACAGGAATGTTGAAGCATTGTTGCCAGCCAAGGTTCTGAGCTATGTATCCTCCGATCAATGGTGCTAGGTGTGGCCCATTGGTAAGAAAGAAAGTGTAAACTCCCATGTAGAGACCCCTCTCATGCATGAAATACAAATCACAAATTGTAGCACCACCAATAGCTACATTTGATCCTGCGCCGATACCATTGAAGACTCTGGTGATGAGGATGCCGTTCCAGGTGGTGCAATGTCCCGCGATGATGTTCGTGATGCCAGCTAGAAGATTTCCCAAGAGGTAAACTGGACGACGGCCATAGACGTTTGCCAGAGGTGAGATCAAAAGTGGTCCAACGCCAGCGAAGATAATGTACACTGTTAGTTCATAGGATACTTGAACAGTTGTGATTTTGAATGCTTTTCCAAGAGGGACGAAGGCGGGATTGATGACGGCGGCACTCATTGGACCCATGCATGATAGCCAGCTGATTTGGAGGGCGATCAATAGCTTGAGTGTTGGGGACCAGTTCTACAGAAGTTAGAATTGTGGTCAAGCGTGTTCAAACAAGGTTGTTGACTTACGAGTGGATCATCTTTGTGTTGAGTTGGCTGTGGCACAAGTGGTAGTCCATGCTTGTCTAATCTGAGATTGCTCGTATCGTCTCTGTTGAGCTTTTGATGATTATTTAGGTCAAGTCCTGCGTCGTTTTGTCCATTTGTATTTCTTGACACATCATCTATTTGGCTCACTTGTGCTTTTTCGAGAGCCGGATCCATCGTACCAAAGTGTTTCTACGGTATACTGTTGGAGATAATGCTCAGAAACAAAGTTCAGGATTGTAATAGTAATTTAAATGGAAAATTCGAAGAGGCTGACTGCAGTGCCAAGATCCAGGTGATCGATGTTATCTGGTAACACTTAACCGGCAACAGGGGTAACGAGACGAGGAGGAAAACGATTCGCTGCTCCGGTGTTTTAACGCAAGGGTGGGAGCTACCAAGAGTGAAGTTGCATAATATTACTGCCAGTAGCATCCAAGCGGTTGATATGCCATTGTTATGTTTTGGGAGGAAAGTCTGAAGGAAAGTGGTGCAGTTCAAATATATGTGGCGAAGGTTGGGAAGCCCATAAAAATGTGGCTTTAGAAACTCAAATACCGTACCTCGCGAACACGAGTGCGTTACATCGCCTGCTGAAAGGAGTATTCATAGGATTCATTTAGGACTAACAGTAATAGTAGAGTCCTATGGGAAGCTTCAGAGAACTCATACCCCGCATACGGGAGTTGTTCCCCCTGCGCGCCACACCCCGCAGTAGCGGGGAGGATGGAGGATCTCCGTAACATCAGGAAGTATCTTTCCGATAACAGCTTTCTAATCCCTTTAAGACTCGACTTGAGATACGCGCTCGTTTCACTCATCTGAACGCGCTCTAAGGTTTCAAGCAACGGAGAAACTCTGCTTCGATTTCCGCTATCACAGTATTTAACCGGGCATACTTCACTGCCACCGGCTAATATCCGCACAATGCTTGGGAAAATCGCTCTCGAGGAATGCTGGACGATTCCAGAGGCTCTGGCAAACAACGACCCAGGGAAATTTGTTGCATCTGGGACTGGTGATCGCCTGACGAGAGAACTTCTCGATATCCATGACATGCGACTTCGCCAGATGGATGAAAACGGCGTTGACTTCATGGTTCTATCATTTGTCTCAGCAGGATGTCAAGGAATATCAGATCCTGCGAAAGCAGAAGCGCTAGCTACACTTGCAAACGATAAACTCGAGGAAGAAGTGATGAAGAACCCCACAAGATTTGCGGCTTTTGCGGCAGTCAGCATGCACGATCCAAAGCAAGCAGCCAAGGAACTGACCCGCTGTATGACAGAGAAGAAAGGTTTTGTCGGCGTCCTCCTCAACGACTTTCAGAGTAGTGGACCGGACGGAAATACAATGTTATTCTTTGACCAACCTGAGTATGACCCATTTTGGAAAACTGCCAATGATCTCAAAACACCAGTGTACTTGCATCCGAGAATATCTTCAAGTCTCATCCATAACCAGATGTGGAAGGGGAGACCGTGGTTGGACTTTTCTGCCCTTGGATATGCAGATCGCCTCAACATGCATATTCTGGGAATCATCACCAATGGTGTACTTGATCGATTCCCTGATGTGAAGTTGATTTTTGGTCACATGGGTGAACACATGTAAGTACCGCGGGAGCTTTCGAGTGGAGTTGCTGAATGCTGACTTCGCCTTCAGACCTTATGATATTTACCGGATTGATCACAAACTTGATCGGGCTCGGTTTCCCAAGATGCCTATGCGAAAAGACAAGCTCGTCCGAGATTATTTCGGGGATCAAGTGTTCATCACGACAAGTGGGCATTTCTCAACACTATTGAACTGGGATCGATTTATCGGTGGAAAATCGATATATTGGAGATTGACAATCTGTAGAATGACTAGTTTTGACTAGATACAGGAGAGTGATTCCATAAAAAACAGAGGGAATGGGTTCCCTAGCTATATTCCTGATTTCCACCCCACCATGTGATTTACCCCGCACTTACTTGGTGGTGGGAACGATTTACCAATCTGATTCCTGAACGTACGTTTAAGGAACGTAATCGAATGGCGATACTAATAAACGATTGGTGTGTTCGTACGTAAGTAATACCCAATAATCGGACGAACTGAATTAGTGGTTGAACCTGGAGTGGAAGGAAAGGATGCTAGCCAAGCTAGCTAGTTCAACAAACACCCGCTCTGGTGTGTGCAATGGGAGAGATTGGTTCTCAGTCGATCATGTTCTCAATTGATTATCCGTTCGAGAGCATCCCAAATGCATGCGCGTGGTGGGACGAACATGTTTCGGTGAATCAGCATGATTTGGTGAACATGGGCAGGAACAATGTGTTGAAAGTGCTCCCGAGGTTGACCGAGGAACCTCATAACTTGAAAATAATGACGCCAGCAGAGGGTCAAGTTGGTGGTCTTCGGGAAGGGAAAGTGACTTATGGGATGTATAATGAGGACTGGAGCAGGAGGTTGGTGAAGCAGTAGAGAATAAAAACCCGGAATCGTTATCTCATTCCTTGAAGCAAAGACTACTTTTATGAGACAACTTTAATGGTTAGACAAGAGTGATATTCAGACAACCGATGCCCCCTTTTCTAAAGCTATATGGGGACCCTAACCGCGCTATATTCATGGACAATATGGGCTCGCGCGCGACTGTAACAGAAAAGGCTATTTGGGTGAATGACGATACTACCTTGGGCAATGCAATGGACAGAAACGGCCTTGACAGTGTCCCGATATTGACTAAGATGTGAAGTCCTAGACCAAATATAACAATTTGCTATCTTACCCATACATTCACTAATTTGACTAAAGTTGGGGTAGTTGTCGATAATTGTCTGTCAGGACTTGTACCATAGCCCCTATATATGCCCTGCGGGTTTGGTGCATATCAGCAATGCGGTCTTATTCTAGTGATACGGTCATTTTCATAACAACTCCCACAATTTCACAAAATCAAAAAAATTGAAAGAAGCCAACAATTGCGTAAGTATTAATAGCCGGACCTTTATATAAACTTTTTTTTTAAGATCCTGTGTTATGTTGTGAAGTCACCAAAAATTCTGGACTTTTTTTGTTAGGGAAAATAGAGCGACCATATCACTGATTTTTGACCATATCGCTGATAGGCACTAAACCCGCAGAGACGCAGGGGCTTTAGTGGAAGTCTTGACGCTCGATTAAGCCAATGCATGACGATACCGTAACCCCGGCAAATTCATCACGAAATTTCTCTCCCAGTCACAGCAAAAGGGAAGGGTGTGTGAAAGTCTCGCATTGGTCTACGTAAAAGTCATCGCTTAGGTTTTTGCAACGTGTAGTGATTTCAAGTCCTCCAACCTCCCATTTCCCAATCCATCCTCCCAACTATGTTCAGGCCGGGATTGCCTATCCAACCACGCCACTCGCCCATCAATACCGCTAGTCCAACCACCAATCCAGCTTACCCACAACAACATCATCCTTAAGCGCTTCGGGAAGATCAGGAAGAGACCGCTTAGCAGAAGTATCTAGTGACTTGGAACGACCTGGTCTAATATACACCAAACTCATGTGTTTCGACTTGGGGAAGGAAATACATCCAAGACTCTACACTTTTGGGCAAGTGGGGGTGCCGCGCGAGTGGGGTGCACGTCATACGTTACCAGCATAAGGTCTGTTTGCACCGGGTGTGCCGGTCAAGGCTGAGTTGAAACCTACGTGGTGCTCTTTCACTCTCAATTTGCCCCTTTCTCGCGGGGCGCTAGAGGAGGCGCATTGCGTGGCTTGCAGTTGACTGGATTACATGAAAATGCCCTTTTGTTCGCTGTTCTGAGTGGCCTGGTTAGTTCATGGGGCGGGACGAGTCCTTTCATCTCCGCGCACGGCAGCCTCGTCTGCCCTTCTGATTTCTATATTTCATACCAATGATCCCCTTCCTTCGTTAAAAAACTGTTATTGTCATTTTATTCCCACTATCGCAGTTCATCAGATTGTGATGATGCAACAAAGTTGGAAGGTTACAAAGGCCTCCCGTTCATCCATCCGGAACAAATCGAGGCTTGTAGCTCCCGAGGCGATGCCAAGAGCACCCTGTCGTGCTCGAAGTGACCAAAAATGGAGCAGGTACAAAGAAGAGATTCGCAGCTTTTACATCGACCAAGACAAAACTCTAGAAGATACGATGCAAATGATAGATTTACCAGCGAGCGAGCGAAAATGGAAACAGCAACTGAAGGAATGGGGTTTCCAAAAGAATCTTCCAGCTAGTCATATGGCTATTCTCGTGGCGAAACGAGAGCAAAGACTGAGAGATTATGGAAAAAACACCGTCTTTCTTCAAAGCGGTGTCGAGATCAGGGCCGAGAAGTTTGAGACCTTCAAAAAGAGAAAGACCAGCAAGGTCTTTCAAGCTACGTCTCCGAGTGCTGGTATGTTGTACATCTTCCTACTCACTCTTTACTTTAAACTCACGAGCGAAAACAGAAACACCTCCTAATATCGTCTACCACACTCCCAAGTCTGATTCGGACATCCCAGGAGTTGTTGAGTCGCAAGATGCGGTGACCAACTACCCTTCACCCCTTCCAGAAGATGGCCAAGCAACAACTCCTTATTTTCAAGTCACAGGAAATAAGGATGAGTTTTACGAGCATTCAAATATATATCCACGCTCCCCAGAAGTGACTAGGGAGAGAACAACACCAAACCACACTTTCCCGATGCAGATTGCAAGCGACCAAATGGATTCACAGCTGCAACCACTTCAAACCTCCACCGTACCCCTCCTAGCCGGCGACTCCTTCTGGACTCAAAACGAAGATTTAAATCAGTTCAATCAACAAACAGTGCTATCGCCTACGTTTTATGCCCATTTCTCGCCAGCGAACAACCAAGGCAGTCAGCATACTCCGCACATTTTCCAAGATCACGAACATGACGACCCGGCCCCTGCTCAAAGGGTGGAAGATAACTTTGGTGGTTCAAGGTTAACAAACAACTACCTCCCCGTTGGCCTTATGGACTCGACCTCTGTCCTCGTGCCCGGCTATCTAGGAATGGACCCATCTGAAGTTATTCCCGGGAACAACCCCAGTGGTTCTGGTTTTAGCCAAAACGCAATCGACGAGGCCCGTGTAGTCGAGAACCATATGCACCTGGCAGAAACTTACGGAGCCTACCGCCTAACAGGCAAGGCTGAGGCTCAGTATATAGAAGCGCTCGTCAAATGCATGCAGTTTGGCCAGGAGCAAAAGGCTCGCCAGTGTTTACATGAATTTGGTGTGTTTCTCAAGGAAGACCGCCTCCCTGAAGTCTTGGAGTCTTCAATTCAAACGTGTCGTAACCTGGTACTGTTATTCGAGAGGAATACCTCCGCAACTCAAGAAATGAAGACAGCAAGCTTGGGAATGTTGGCAGATCTTCTCAACCGCCACGGACAGCTTGCAGAAGCGGAAGCTATATACCGTCAGATACTTGACATGAGCAAAGAGTCGAAAGATTATCACACAGCCGCCGCATGCGAAGCTTCGTTGCGCAAGCTGCTCTACCAGCTGTGGTCCCCTCACGAGGGCGCTGTGCGAGAGCAACTCAGAAGTCTCTCTATTTCCCTTGAGCAGGAGACCTCTGGTCCAGCAATGCGATTCACCCACGCAACAGCCGTGATTCTTACAACCCACTTCTCTGCTATTTGCCAACTTCACCCATGTCACCAACTCGGTCTGGTCCTCGAAGAGATGTCCTATCTCCTCTCAAAGCGAATCTGGGGCCATCCTTCGAGAGTCGATTCTCGACTTCGGGACCTGACCATGAAGCTAGCTCTCGAATGCTCAGAACTAGCTTGGCACGATAATACAGAATCCTTTTTCCGAACACAACGGATATTGCTGGATCGACTCGCTACTGCTGATTGGGGATATGTGAAGATTCGAGGGTACATTGATTACTGTGCGTATTTGGAGAGATCTGAAAAAGACGGCAGCTGGAAGAAATACATCGAGATTCTGATCACTGCTTACAAGACTATGGAAGATCTTTTGCATGCGAGAGGAGCTCAACCTTATAGGAAAGGGGATTTTCCGTTCTTGGAGCTTCTTAAACTTGAGAGAGCGGGAGTTCCTAGCAGTAAATGCGACCGGGAATCTATTCAACTGATGGAGGGTGTGGAAAAACGACTTGAGCGGATGCTTGCGCAGAATCAAAGCCATCACTCTGAAGCTGTGCAGTTTGGCGAGTGAGAAGGGAATTGAGGAGGGAAATGATGTGGTAAGTGAGGAGGAGACAGACGAGGATAATGGTCCCGGAATTGGTGATTGGGATCGGTATAGCTGAACTTTTACGTATAAAATAAATAGATGAGCATGAACTAAGTGACAAGTTTAAGATGGACCTACAAATTCTTCTGCCTATTCCACTGGTACCTACTTACTTGCCTTTCGTAAGACATCGATCAATGCCAAAAACTCTTCAAATTAAGCAGCACTTTCAAAATTGGCATCAGGCATCTTCAACCAACTGCCAATATCACCATTAAATAACAAATACCCAAAGGATATTTCAATTTTCTAACAAGGCTGAATTTACTATACAATTAATCATATCTCAGCACAAATATTCTCTAAAAACACATGCACCCAAAACATCCACCTGTCTTCACCAAATCTTCTTGCCTCGCTTCACCCTTCCAGCTCTTTCCCTTCTCGTTCCCGGCTACGGCACTCATACCCCCAGTACTAGGATCTCCCAGTCCAGCCGCTCCAGCCGGTGCGTACCTCAATCTCGGAACCGCACCATGTATCTTCACCTCTCCGCCTTCCATTTCTACTCTAACATCAGAAACAGCCCTCCCCCGATTCTTTACCCACCCCGCCCCAGCTGCATCTCTTGCACCCATATCTGGCTGTCTAGGGACGCCAGTTCTACTTAGATCTACCGCTGAAACTCCTCCTGACATAGCACCCTTCCCCCCCATCCCGCCTGACCCCCTTGCCCCCCGTTTCATCCCCAGCTGCAGTCTTCGCAGCACTACCACCACAGGCCTTTTTCCACCAGAATTTCAAAAACCCTCCTTCATCCTTAATCGCCTTTCTCCTCTCTGCTCTCCTCACTGCCTTCTTCCTATTCTCCTCGACTTTCTGGGCCTTCTTTATCTCCTTCTGCAAGTGCCTCTCCCGTCTCGCTCTCAATTTCTTATTTTCTTTCTCATTCTCATTCTCCTTCCTCTTTTTCTTTTCATCATCTGCAGTTGAAGTAATAGTCCTACTACCACCTGGATCTCCCGGAGCGGGCGCACCCGCTGCTGTTCGGGTTGCTGTTCTCGGCCTTGTTTGTGTCTGTGTTCGTGTAGCAGTGGAGCTACTAGCGAAGCCATGCACGTTTGCGGATCGCGAGAAGCCGGATTGACCTGCTAGGGAAACTATTTGGAGGGTTGGTGCGGTTTGGCCGCGTTGGAGGACTTGGGATCCTGGAGAGGGGTGAGGACCAGTGATGGAGATTGGGGATTAGCGGGAAATTGAGAGGGAGGCAGTGGGAAAGGAGGCGAACTGACCTGTACCGGTTCGTGTTCGTAGCATTTTTTTAGTCTAATGTTCTCAGGAGGAAGGTGATGGAGACGTTCAGAGAGGCGAGATGGACATTGATTTAGAAGAACGATCTGAAAGGAAGGGGGATGCCTGAGAAGGGAAAGAATTAGGACGAAATGAGATGGTGTACAGAGGAGCACAGAAAGCTGAACTATGTTACACCGGTATATAAAAACAGAAAATCGTCACTATCACATCGTTCAAGTGTAATTACTGAAAATAGATGGTGGCCGTTGTGAATTTTCCGATTGGATTGCATCGGAAGTAATTCGACCGTCCTGGTACTTCAAAGGAACCGACCCCCGGACACAATGACACTAAGAACTTATCTTGAAGATCTTTATCGCCTTTACGGCAGAATCGCTAGGCTTGTCGATTTTTTTGACAATTCTGCCCTAAAGGGCGGTGTGAGGCCCATATTGCTAGAAATATAGTGCACTTGCCCTGTAACTATCGCTAAAGAAATTAGACCTACTACTATTGATATTTATCGATTATCGGCTAATTAGCGCGATTATCTATCGATCGATTATCGAGCCTATCGGAGCCCATACTGCAATTTATTACGAGTAGCAGGATACAGTCCGGAGAGGGATCATGAGAGCAGGAAGAATTTTACTTGCCAAGCCACATATCATCAGAAAACAGCAGCGAGAGGAATGCCAACCTGTGACAGACACAAACATGTGCAAGGACGACATCTTTTTTTGGACCAGCAAAACGGCTTATCCCTCCTCTCTATCCATTTCATCTCTACCCCGCTTCTTGTCCCCTCCCTTTGGCCGTCTGCCTTTCAGAACCGAACCTTTCTTGCCTCGATCCTCGTGCAGATTCTTCATCTCATTTCGTGCATGTCGTTGAGCCTCCTCAACACGAGCCTTGAAAACCATCACTTCTTCCTTCTCGGTACCGTACTCCTTCTGCTTTTTGCCTAGGGCAGCCTCAATGCGCAACCAAATCTCAACATCATACTGTGTGACTACGCTGATAGCATGACCCGACTTTCCAGCTCGCGCGGTGCGTCCTACTCGATGGATGTAAGTTTTACTGTCAGGCGGTAAATCGTAGTTCAGTACCACATCCACGGATGGGATATCGAGACCGCGGGCGGCGACATCGGTAGCGACCAGAATTTCTCGCGATCCGGCTCGGAATTTGTTCAATGCCCCCAAACGAGCTGACTGTGAAAGCTGACCATGAAGAGGTATTGCCCCGAAGCCTAAGGTTCTAAGCAAGATAGCTATCCGTTGTGTTTCGTTCACTGTCCTCGTAAAGACTATCGCGGACTGGCCTGCAAATTCGTTGATGAGGTAAACAAGGTAGGTGTCCTTGTGCTGGTGTGGGATGAAAACGTAACTTTGGAGTAATGTGGAGACGGTTTGGTATTTGTTGCTGCTGATGCTCACTCGAAGAGGGTCCTTCAAACTTGCTCTTTGAAGACTCTCGACTTTCGAGCTCATCGTCGCCGAGAAGAGGTATGTTCGTCGTTCGCGGGGAAGGACTTTCAGTATTTTGTCAAGGATGGGTCCGAAATCGAGATCAAGAAGTCTGTCTGCTTCGTCCATAACCAAGTACTTCAACAATCGTAGAGAAAAGCCCTTTGTGTTTTCGAGATGATCCAGCAATCGACCTGGGGTGGCCACAATAATGTGAGGTTTCCTGCCCAGTGCAATAGCTTGAGGAACCATATCCATGCCTCCTACAATGACCGCACATCGTACTGATATGAGTGATCCCAGGGCCTCGAATGCTTGCGATATTTGGTATGCCAACTCGCGGGTAGGTGCCAGAACGAGACCGAATAGAGGTTGAGGATTATCGAGCAATGCCTGTAGAATTGGGAGAGCAAAAGCTGCTGTCTTTCCACTGCCTGTCTCTGCCAGGCCGATCAAGTCTCGACCTTCGAGTGTGAGCGGAATCGACTGGGCTTGGATTGGAGTTGGGGCTTTGTACCCCAGAGCGGTACAGGCATCGCATAACGAATCGATGATACCCTAGATTCTGTAAGCCTCTATTTGCAGCCTTTGATATTGGATACACGTACGAGATCCTTGAAGGTCTTTGTTACCTCCTCTTCTATCTTTTCCTCGGGCTCTTCTTCTCCTGTTGGCTCTGGCGATGTCGAGGCTGAAGTAGGCGCTAGCTCCTTGGCCACATGCTTCTTATTCTCCAACAGGCCAGAGGGTACTTCGCTATCAACCTTTCTTCTCTTGGCTGACGACATCGTGTTGTTGAGATTTGTGGTGTTGGAGGGAAGCTATTTGAGAATAAAATAATTTTTATCGTGCTTATCGAATCCTCGCTTCTGATTGGCTGCGCCAAAGTTCCCTTTCAAAAATATTCTGCCCTCAAATCCTCCAAACCACATCACACCACAAGAATACACCACAATGGCACGACGACGGACGAAGAAGCGTACCCATGTTGGCGCTAATAATGGCCCCTCTGGCAGGGCAGTTCCAGCAAACAAGGCAGCAAATTCGCCCAAGAGCATGGTCATTCGAATTGGGGCTGGAGAAGTAGGACCAAGTGTGAGCCAGCTGGTGAAGGATGTACGGCACATGATGGAACCCGGCACAGCTGCGAGACTGAAGGAGAGAAGAGGAAATAGATTGAGGGATTACCTTACAATGGCGGGACCTCTTGGTGTGAGCCATCTCATGCTCTTCTCGAGGTCGGAAACGGGCAACACCAACATGAGACTGGCAATTACGCCCAGAGGACCGACATTACACTTTCAGGTGGAGAAATATTCGCTATGCAAGGATGTTAGGAAGGCATTGAAGCACCCAAAAGGTGGTGGAAAGGAATACTTGACAGCTCCTTTAGTACGTCGTCAAACAACAAATAGAGTATTTGCTGACTTACTAGCTTGTCATGAACAACTTTACGTCCCCTCCTTCCCAAGCAGACTCCGATAACAAAGTGCCCAAACACCTCGAATCCCTAGTCACCACCATATTCCAATCTCTCTTTTCTCCAATTTCACCGCAAACAACGCCACTCTCTTCAATAAAGCGAGTTATGCTGTTAAATCGTGAGCCTGCGAAGGAGAACGATGGAACATATACACTCAATTTACGGCACTACGCAATCACAACGAAAGCCACTGGTGTATCAAAGCCACTTAGAAGATTAAATGCTGCAGAGAAGCTTCTTCACTCGCAAAAATCAGGCAGGGGCAAGAAGGGCGGATTGCCAAACCTGGGAAAGCTCGAGGATGTGGCCGACTACATGATTGGAAACGATGGTGAGGGTTATATGACAGATGCTACGAGTGGCAGTGAGGTGGACACAGATGCAGAAGTCGAGGTTGTCGGGACACGGACGAGGAAGATCTTGTCGAAACGTCAAAGAGACTGTCCTCGGGTAGATGGCAAAAATAAGGGTGGTAGAAATGGTGTGGAGAAGCGGGCTGTTAAGCTTGTGGAATTGGGACCGAGAATGAAGCTGCGGATGACCAAGGTGGAGGAGGGAGTTTGTACGGGAAAAGTTATGTGGCATGAATACATCCACAAGACCAAGGAAGAGGTGAAGCAGCTGGACAAGAAGTGGGAGAAGAAGAGGCAAGAAAAGGAAGCGAGAAAGAAGATCCAAAGAGAGAATGTTGAGAAGAAGAAAGCAGCTAAGGGACTGGGTGCAAAGGATAGACTGGAAGATGACGAGGACGAAATGGATGTCGATGAGTGGGACTCAGAGGGGCTGGAAGGGGATGGCGAAATGGAGTTGAACGAGGAGATGGAGGAGAGAGGGGAGTGGGAGGACGAAGAAGAAGAAATTGCAGCTGGTTGAAGTCAGCCGATCTTCAAATGAAAGGCTTGCTTAATTTGAGGAACATATCTCCGCGCGATCTCTTGTTGGTAACTGACCCAGATGCCTTTGAACACCACATCCGTCAAGGATGCTGCATTTTCATCGCTGATTACCGACATGTGTTGCATTGTACAGCAAGTGCTTAGAAGCCGTATGGTCACAATTATTGATTGTCTCAACCATACTCCACTTTCCACGCCATGCATGCCCGGAGCACATGCCCCACCGATATTCCTCTGCTTGTGGAGTTCAATGTGTGCTTCAAATGGCAGTACTTTGTCGATTACTTTTGATAGTGGATCCCAGCTCAGTCCTCGGAGGACTATTGCTGCTATGCCTCAAAGATCATGGAGCGTGGCATCTTGGAGCGTGTATTCTGGTTTCACAGCTTTACCCATCTTGAAGTCTGTTCCTTGTTTTCTAGTGGACATGGGTTAAAAATAGTTTAGGTAGATAAGAAGATTGCTGCTATCAAGGGAAAAGAGCGACACAACAATGAGAGAAGATGGTGTCCATCCATCAATCCGGCCTATTCTATAGGTCAGAATCTGAGTAAGCTTATAGCGCTGAAGCATTCAGTGCGAGAACCGAGCACTGATTGCTTACTGGCCGACACAAAGGGAAGTGACGCATGTTCTCGTTAACTCCTTGAGAATTTTGCTTTGCACAACGCTTACCTAGATCCGTCCCCCTTTGCGTTGTCGATTGCACGTGATTCGAATCTCACAATTTTTATTATGGGGAGGTGCGGAGGGTTTTCCAGAGCGATAGAACTATTTAAACAGCTCATTATTGAGAAGAGGGTACTGTGTTAATTGAATAGAGGATGCCTAAACGCGAGTGCACTTGTGGTACATGAGTTAGGGGGAAGAACCGGATTGAAGTCGATCACACGTTGGGACTAGGTATGGCTGCTGCTTTTGAAATAGAGACTTAAGAGCTCTTGTACAGAACCTCACTTGTTGTAGTTATTATCTATCTTGGGATTACTGCAGGTGTTGAGGATTGGTCATGAAAGGGTGGTATCTTCAGTCATGAACACCCCTGACTTAAGCGAGGTGCTCGTTAACACTGGCCAAGCGATTGAAGCCATCACCAAAATAGTCAACAATAGATCCATTTTCGAGAGCAGCCCTTATACCTGTAGGAGACGTCTCTCAGCCTGTTGGTCAGATTCCGGAGAAACGGGGCTAATTGAGGTCCGGTCGGAAGGTGGGTCCCTTCCTAGGTCGAAAGCAGCCCATCCCAGACCCCGCCTCCACGGCATAGTATGGAAACAAGCTTATGCCTCAGCGGCTGATCAACTAACCAATCACTACACTTGTGTGCTACCTTGGTCACCAAACCGGGCGGTGCAGAAACTCTACTCGGCGAGGTGGGGCAGTGCTTCGCGCCGCAGCAGTACTTGTATCTGGGTGAGACAAAAAGGGGCTTGAAATCACTCATGCTTCTGTTCACAATCACATTCTTTCTTAATCAAACCAACAATTGCTTTCATCATTGATTTCTAAGGTATTTCTTGACATAACAGATTAGATCTGAGGTCGCGTGACTTTCTATCAAGTGGAGGTACCGAGGGCCTTCAACATACGAGCCTAAACTTGGCGGCCCAGGCAACCATTTAATGCCTTGATTTCATCTACTTCAAGGCCTCCCACCAACCCCCCTTGCACGGGATCCAAATTCTAGATCTCTCACCTGTACTTCACAAAGCAACGGCATCTTTAACTCTACATTCCCTCACCCAGTACAAACTGGACCTCAATTAACTCCCTCGACCTCAGATCAAAATGGCCAACCCTATCAAAATCCACAAACATGCACCATACCGCAAATCCCTTCTCATCCCCCTCTGGACCATCCAACTCCCCCTCTCCGTTTTCCTCTTCGTAATGTCAGGAATCGGTATCTCGTTCGTGCCCACCTCGTTTTCCCCCTCTACAACCATTAGTTAACAACCCACATAGTACCGCTACCAGAGGTTATAGCTTCCACGCAGATTTGACAAGCTTCGACATTGCCCGCATACTACTCAATCTCTTCCTCACCAGCTCCGTCATCTTCGTCATCGTCAAGTTCGCAAACTTCGCCTTGACTACGCATGTTTTCAAGATCCAGAGTATTGCAGCCGTTGTTGTTGGTGTGATTTGCACGGTGCTGTATTGCGTGGAGGGCTCTTTTGAGAAGTGGATTATGGCGGCCTTTTCGGGCACAGGGTTGCTTGCGAGTATTACGATTTGTGCTAGGGTGTGTGTCTTGAGGAGGAGGGTTAAGAGGGGGGAGATAGGGGAGATGAAGAGGGGGAGTGGTGGGAAGGAGCTTGATTCCGAGGCACAGCTGGATGTGGAGTCGGAGGATGGTAATAAGTTTCGGCTTGTTGGTGATGGGAAAGTGAGAGCTAATGTTAAGGTTACGTTGGGACCTGGGTTGGAGATTGAGAAGCCAAGACCTTCGTTCAATTCCGTGGGGACTGGTACATCGAGGGCGCCAGAGCAGGTTGTGAGGGAGTTTATTTGATGTGATGTCTAGGATTTAGTCAGTCATGAATGTACGAATACCATATGGTTGAATGGACAATTGAGGAAACTCATTGTACGAGGCAGAAATTGTCCTTTAAATGCAATGCTAGCCTGCTAGGGTATCTCGCAATCTTCCCCCAAACTCAAAGAGATCCAATGTGCCAAAGTGGGATAGAACAATCCCCTGCCATTCAAGCAAATAACTCCTCATCGTCGTTCTCGTCATCGGATTCCTCCGCAAGCTGGAATATCTCATCGCCTTCGGTCAAACCCAGCTCAAACTGACCAAGCAACAATATCAATTTGTTCTCAAATGCACCATCCCAATCAGTCACACTGCCGCCTTGTTCCAAACTCCGAACCCCCAGAATAGCATAAGGATCGAAAGTCTGTACAGTCTGAAGACCCAATGTACCAGGAGCAGACGAAACAATCTGACCACCATGACTACCCATTGTACCCGCACTTCCCTGGACAATCTGGCCACCTTGAGAACCCATTGCTCCCACAGTGCCCTGAAAAACCGGGATACCTTGACCACTTGCTTGTGCAACAAGTGTGTTGACAGTCCGTTGCTGGTGGTTCCTGTCCGCCGTCTCCTTTATCTCAACCTCCCATCTCAAGAACTCTTCGTAGACCTCCAAGATCTGCTTCTTAATATTGTCCGTAGAGCCGTTGTAGTTAAAGAACGTCTGGACATGCTGACCAATCTGGGTACATGCCAGGTACGAATCGACAACGAACTGGTGGATTTGGAGGTACGGAGAGGTTTCGAGGATCTTATTGAGATACATCAGCCCGTTCTGGACAGATTTTCGAGGTTCATTGTTCTGCATTTCCTCCACTTTGAGAGACAACGAAGCTGCAAGGTTCAAGATGTCGTGGGGTGTCGGGTAACCGGCTGGGAGGAAGGAGAGCTTCTGGTAGGATATTAGCATTTGTTCTGAAAGGTCAGACCGAAGGAAGTTATCGTGATTATCGTATTGCTTCGCTTCGCTCCAATCTTCTGCTTAACTTCTGATGACGCCTAGCAAAGATCAGACCGAAGCGAAGGCAGTTGTCGTAATTATCGTTTCGCTTTGCTTCGCTCCCATCTTCTGCTTAACTTGAGATGACGCTTAGCAAAGATCGGAGCGAAGCAAATGAAGTTATCGTGTTGTTCTGCTTCGCTCCCATCTTTTTCTTGACTTCAGATAACGCTCAGTTGGCGACTAAGCGTCATCTGATGTTCAAAAAGCGACCCCTCGACGTCGCTGTCTTGCCGTGTGCAGTAGGGGGATAAGAGCTAAATAACAAGGGTTTACTTACGTGGACCTCAAAGGCCTTTAAGATCTGCTCAAGGACCTTGTTAAATGGGGCGGCGCAAGGGTCATTTGAGAGGTATTTGTCCAAATCTTCGCGGTCAGGGTAGCGAACGCGGTGATATGGATAGATTTCCGCAAGCGCGATCACTGTCGGGGCGGAGCTTGCTGTTGTGGGAGCAAGGAGTGTGCCCTGGCGGGCTTGGTTGATAATGTTCACGTTGTTGTTCATTGCGGAGGATTGCTTCTGGCGCAGTGGGAGGGAAGGTAGGTTGTTTGGTGGAAGGTTGTGGCAGAAGGTTGTTTGGTGAAAGGTTAATCTTGGCAAAGATCGCGAAGTAGATATTTATGGGCCGAACCGAGAAAGAATAAATCCGATGAAATTTAGTAAAAGCACAGAGCCTCTAGTAAAACCATCGCTGTTTTAATTGATAGCCGTGGACGCTACCGGCTCGGAGTCATTCTTGTCTTGAGAGTGCCGCCTCAATTTCGCTCCCAACTATTAGACTAAAGGAGGTTATCGTGTTAAAGATAAGAGCAAAGCAAGCAGCCAAAGATCAGAACGAAGCCAAAATGTTTGAGATGATAGCTGAACATTAGCTTCTCGTCATCTGAAGTCAGACAAAGGAAGATGGGACCAAACAACTCATTCTTTAGGAAGATCAGAGCGGAATATGGGAAAGAGACACGCAGTTATCCTAAGCGGAAGTAGAATGACGGAATGAAGTTTTGAGGTCAGAGTGAAGGTGGACAGAGAGATGAATTTATCCCAAGAAGAATAAGAACTATGGGATGGCGTGCAAAATCAGATGGTTGTCTTGTCTTCTCTTGAGCTGGCATCAAGCTTCAGCACCATTTGCCTCTGACTCAGAACCCAACGTGCTAGCTGATGCAAGACAACGAGAATTAGTTGTTCTTAAATACTCTATAAAGGATGGAACAATGAAATGGCATGGCCTGGGTTGTTGGATAACTTAGAAGCCTCCCCCATGGTTCCAGAGCTGCCTGAACCACAGCTCTTCTGAGAGGAAACGAGATAATTTGCGTTCTTTCAGTAGGCACGATAGCGCACTATATATTTGAACTCGCAGAGTGCGTCTATTATCGCTTCGTGCAAGCGATTACTTCAAGGTTGCAATCAGATATATAACATCGCTTGAGATCACGTGAGGAGCAAAGGAATTATTTCTAATGAGGCGTTTGCAGCAAACGAATTGATGGAAACCATTTGTTGGATATTTGCCAATAGGAAGTGACAAATTTGAGTCGCAATCGAGTGCCTTCCTGGGTTGTGTAATATTTGTGATAATCTAGAAAACGCATGGAACGCCACAACCAACTTCTCGCCCCTCTCGTGTTTCTCACTTGAGCAAACTCTTTCCGATTATGAAACTAACCGGACCCCAAGAGCAGATTGCCATAGAAACATAGAGATTTGACAAATATGAACAGATTTCTCTTTGAAGGCACTCTGTTCATCTATGGGAGTTTGATCAAAGGAAGGGCCTAGCGGCTCTGACCACAGACTCCTGCGTGCCTGCCTGGCATCAAAGAATTTTCTATGACAAACCCTGCACTATTTCAGACGGAGTGCACGCAAACATGGGATGCAGCATACCCAGTTTGGTTTGAAAATTGTGTTGTTGCAGTTCTGTTGGTGATGTGTCGTGGTTGTGGGATCGGAGAATCGGAGATCCAGAGCCGAGAAAAGCTCCGGGTTTCAAGTATTGAAATAAGCGATTTTTGGACCAAGCAGGCCAGCCATGACCTTGTAGGGCAGTTAGATCAGTGGTAGTATCGCTCGCTTTGCATGCGAGAGGTCGTGGGTTCAATCCCCACACTGTCCAAATAGTTAATTTAGGGTGGTCTGTTTCGCTTTTTGCCGCTTTTCTTTTTGGGTTGGTGATCTGATATCCTCAGCTTTTCTTTTGCATTATTGAAATTCATGTCCTGAATTCTTATTTATTTCTTACACAGTTTTGCAAACCATTTTTGGGGCAATTTTAAGAGCCGAGGCTTAGCGAGTTCGCCGGAGTTGATAGGCTTGGATGAATATCTCGGGCATATTATCAGCAGGTTGACACTTCAATCTGCTTATAATGTTACTTAGGTCTCCTCCTACTCACTCAAATTTATTCTGAATCCTTTATTCCAGGCCCCCTTTTTTTTCCCGCCGTTTTGTTACTGTTTTTAGCTCTCGATTGGTAGCGCCAACCAACGTGACCTCGCTCCATTACGGGCGGATCTCCGAAACATAATTCTCGAACCACACCACCATGATTTTGAGGCAGAGCTTCCGCCTGCCCCTGGGCCTCTTTTTGCTTTCAACATTATGTCTGTTTACGACTCAGGTCTCTGCTTCCTATGGAGACCGACTGCCAGAATTCCAGCGTTGCGTTGAGGTAGAGAGCCCATCTTCCCATCTTGAACCTTACTGATCAACAATTCCAGGTCTGCAAACGAGAGAACTGTGGCAGCGGTCATGCCTCAACCCACATCCGTACGCGGCCTTCTCCTATGTCTCCAGCTATTCTAACATCTCGCAGCCCTCCTCCATCGCCTGCTCTTCTGGGACTGCCCAACAGAATGCGACTACACCTGCCAGCACATCATCACCGACCAACGCGTCGCCGCCTCCGAGCCGATCGTGCAATTCCACGGCAAGTGGCCCTTCTACCGTTTCCTAGGCATGCAAGAGCCCTTCTCCGTCTTCTTCTCGCTCCTCAACTTCCTCGCGCATCAGAACGGCCTCTCGAAAGTCACCTCCGACATCCCTGCCGCCTACACTCTACGAAAATACTACGTCTACCTCGCGTACTTCGGCATGGCGAGCTGGGTCTTCAGCATGATTTTTCATACGAGGGATTTTAAGATTACGGAGGAATTGGACTATTTTGCGGCTGGCGCGAGCGTGTTGTATGGGTTGTACTATACGTCGATTCGCATCTTTCGTATGGATCGGGGAGGGAAGCGGACGAAGTCGATGTTGAGGGCCTGGACGGGATTGTGCATTGCGATATATGCGCTGCATGTCACGTACCTGAAGTGGTATGCGTGGGATTATACATATAATATGACGGCGAACGTTGTGGTTGGCGTGATCCAGAACTTGATGTGGAGTTGGTTCAGTTTTGCGAAGTACAGGAAGTCGGGGCGCTTCTGGGCGATATGGCCTGGTTTGGTGGTTGCGTGGATTATATTGGCTATGAGTCTGGAGTTGCTGGATTTCCCGCCGTGGTGGGGTTGCTTGGATGCGCATAGTTTGTGGCATCTGGGAACTGTTGGCCCCACGATGATTTTCTATAAGTAAGTGTATACCCCTGGGCAAGATAAGCCAAACTGTTAGAATTGCGCTGACGATATTACAGTTTCTTAGTGAAGGATGCGCAAGACGATATGGCAGGAGCACGACTCAAAGCATGACCTCAAGGAGCAACGGAAGTGGGAATGGGCACAGGAGCAGCAAACATAATGTTTATACATAATACCCCTCGAATTGAATATACGAAAGGTTCTCCTTGGACTAGGACCGCGAACTCTCTGTCTCAGTCCTTGCTCTCTTCGACTCTGACAGCTGAAATCACGCACGTTGTTGCACGCGTGTTTTCCAGTCTTGATATTCCCTGGTCGACAAGCGACAGATGAAAGACACCATACCAAATTCCTTCCCAAGATTTCAATTTTCAATTGAGTTTGCAGGCTATCCTTCTTCTGTCATGGCACCGGAAAAATTGCTCGAGCAGTCGAGCCCAAAATGCGCCATTAATGACACGAGTTTCGTTGCGCATCGACATCGCGAGGGACTTCCGCATTGGGAAATGATGGGGTGACAATTTCCGGATCTGCCAAATTTTGATGACACCTCTTTCTTCCTTTGAGAATAGTTTGAGAGGTTTTTGGGATTTGTTGCACGCCGCGCCGCGTTTCATTGCCGGATTCGAGGTGTGGTGTGATGTTCCCTCGGGTCTTGAACTCGGAAGAGGTGGAGCTGGGCCTCGCCGTCGCTTGCTCTCGTCAGTTTTGTACCCAGGAAACGGGGAAAGTTCCTTGCCAAGTCAAGCGCTGGAGGCCGGTGTAAAGGGGCAGATTCACGCCAGTCTCTGTGTACTACGTACAGGGTGCTTTAAATGTTAACCGGTATTTAACTGCATAGCAAGAAATACTGGAATCAAGACAGGTGATTGGTCAGACCACCCTGCGATTCTAGCTAGTTCGCCGACAAAACCCCTGGAAACAGGTGGCAATTAGCATTTATTTCCGCCTGTAGGTTGTACTACGTATCGGCAGTGAGACGGAAGGATCTAGCTCATCCTGTGCGAGAGAATCATTGTTGCATATCAATTTGTTCGCGCTGGTAGTGAATCACGTGTGTAGTAAAGGGGCTAAGCGAAGACGTGGCTGAGTACCTATTTACAGTGCATTATGCAGGCTGCATTGTCTTTCGAGCAGCTACCGAGCGGTGTATGTCAGGCGCCAGTAGTAATCCACGTAGCTAGTTATTGGCGTGTACACAATCTTCACTTAACGTGTCCTACATGGCAATCTTATCCTTTTGCGGTAGAAAATGTCAAGAAAGGCAAAGCTGTATCCATGCGGCCAGCCTGCCATATGAACCTTTTCTTCCCTCTTCTTCACATCTCGAATTTTAGTCAATATCGAGTCAGTAACGCCAATATATCAATTCACTATGTGTCCCACAAGACTTGCAGCCAGACCTGACGGCCAAATCGAGTCATATGCAGGATTACCATAAAACCCGCAATGCTTTTGGTTGCCTCTCCATATCTTCTATCTGGTGTAAGATGATATGCTGGTAGATTAGGTTATGGACGTAAAGCAATGTATATCTGCAAAGCGCCTTCGACACATTGTACAAGCCCAAACACCAAAGTGAAAACCAGCACCAAAATCGCAACCCAGAAAGTATACCATTGTACCTCATTCCGTCGATCACACCACCACTGTGATAAAGTGCTTGGCTCTGCTTCATCAAAAACTTGTTTTAGTACAACGAGGCGGTCGCGCCAAAATGCGAATTTGTCGATATGCCGGTCTATCGCTCTCAGCCTGTCGCATTTCACTGCTTGAAAATCGAGGTTAGAGGTTCTCGAGAGCTTCCGAAACCATTTTCTAGTCTTAGGGTCTGACTGTGGAAAAAGAAGTGCAAGAGTCCGAAGTGTCTCGTCTATGAAGCCTTCGGGGAACATTGAGCTAGCTTTGCATTAGTTGATATTCCGTTTTTAGAGCAGTCTCTTTTTAAGGGAAGGAAACATACTTCTTCCGTTGGCCGATCAAGAAGGAAGCATTATGAAAGACCGCGACTCTTTTATCGTCTTCACTCATGAGAAGTAGATGGTCGGCAAGGTTGTTGGTGAATTGGATTTCTATTCCCGCAATTCGTCCGAGATTACGAGCAGTGAAAATCTTCTCAAGCTTGACATTTCCATTGTGAAAACCACGAGGAGCATTAAAATAGCCCTTGATCCAGTGTTCCAGACTGTTCTCCGACCATATGAGCCGTTCTTGGCCTGAGAATCCATACTGAAGCTCGCCGATGTTGATCATACAGAGCAGTCTTACAGCGAGGTCGATTGATCCATTGATCTGTTCCTCCTCATTCTCACATTTTGGCAAGGGAGCCTTGAACTTATCCAGAGCATAATGTCTTTGCGATTGACCTGAGATTTGATCTTGGCAGCTATTTCGAGAATATGATGATGTGACTTTGAAGAGATATGTCTTTCTCCATCATACAGGGCGAGATTGCACTGTTCCATGTAGTAAGAGAAGTACGACTCGTAGCTAACACCACCAGTTGTCATGTGCAATGGAGAGATGCTTAGGCCCCAAAGGCCGTTGATGATCTCACATTTCGTAACATGGCAAATCGGAAACGACCGGAGCGGAGTTCTTGTAACGGTCGGGGTCGCAAGCCGTAGAGCTGGACTGGACGCAGCAGAAGTTGAACCAGGCATGGCAGGTATGGAAAGGTTTCCCTTGCAACGTGTTCTTCCTCCTCTGTTTGCATAGAACAATCTTGGGCAGCAACATTCGAGGCCATAGGCACGTGTTGGGTGCCATTGTTACGCCCAGCTTATATATAGCAAAAATGCCTTGCAATCAGCCTCAACCGTTGATCTACTCCAGTAATGCAACTTTACTGTACTGGTTACCAATAGCGAATTGCCAGCGTGCCGAGCGAAAATGCGTTGTCAAGTTCTTTTGGGCTGGTTGCAGCCCTCATGCGGTGTAACCACCACAACCACACTAGCTCTCCAAGTCGGAAAACTTCAAATCAAAGTTCATTGATTTCTCTCTTTGTTTCAGAAGTTTCATTGTATCATTGCAAATTCTATTCGCTGGTGTATCTGTCTTGCGAAGCCCAATTTATTTTGAGATGAGGTCTCCCTAAGTTCACTCAAGTGTTGATAGATATTCACCATCGGGAGGAGGCACACAATTGAATACCCCTATCCCAGAGCCGCCTCTAAGCAACTATGGATGCCGAGAAAAGATTTCCGATACCTACACTCGGGAAATCATTAAAGAGTGGACGCTATAACTGGCCCAATCCAGAGGATTCGACTGGCGAGCAGTACAAGAATGCCAAACTCCGCCGCTACAAGTGTTGGAAAGCTGTCGGTGAGGTTCGACAGAAGTTCGAGGAAATTGCTCCCGAGATCAAAACCCATCTCGAACAGTGTTGCGACCGGTTAGCACATATCGTGGTTTGGACGGTATACATGATTGGCCGTACTCGAAAAGAATCAGTACCCACTATAATGTTCTGCGGAATAGACAAGAACGCCCGCACTGAAGTTAAAAAGATGATCAAGGAAAGTGGAATTATGGACAGATATCCGGGCTTTCGGATCGGCAGCTGTACGGAGGAGTTCCAACACTATGCCAGGCGCAAACGCCGCAAACACCGCAAACCTGGTGTTCAAACATGTTCTGGATCCTCAGCCGAAGTTATGAGAGCGATACAACACCCCCCTTCAGATACAAAGATTGAGACACCGATATTGCACGATCGTCTACCTATTAGTATTCGCGACCATGACCAAGAGTTTTGGAATGTTACAGAGAGTGTTGAAGATCGCCAACAAACACATAATGACACCGCTGCTGGCGGTGGCAAAGCAATCCTATACTCCCCTTCAGATATAGGGCCTGGAATGAGAATACTCATCCAAGGTTTCCATGGTGACTATTTATCATTACGACAGGCTACAGGCGGAGGTTTCATTCGTCATCGAGAGTCGATTTTCCTGACAACAGTGGCGCATGCTTTCCATGAAGACGTTGTGAACGCATTCCCAAACTCTCCCGAGAACTATGATATTGAGTTCGAACTCGATGACGACAGTGAAGAAGAAGAAGAAGAAGGAGAAGGAGAAGGAGAAGGAGAAGACGACATCGAATGTTCAAGTACATACAGTGTCAGTTTTGCAGCATCTGAGACTTCTGAGTTGGACCACTCAACAATCTCAGGGAGGACATTCTCAGATACAACATCGGGGTCTGAACAAAGCTTTACGACCGTCCAAGCTGCGGATCAAATTATCAACACCTCAGGCGCAAATCTATCTCCAGTACGAATTCCGGGAGTGAGTGCACAGAAAAGGGAGCCCGGGCTGTTGGTGAAGTCTGACGACCTGCTCTTACCGGTTGGAGAGCATATCATTCTTTCCACAACTGGCAGTCGACCGAGTTTAGATTACTGTCTCATCGAAGTTGAAGCGAATGAGCTTCTCAAATCCAAACAGATCCCTCTAAAATTCGACAAATATTTACTCCCAGTCCTAAGTGGAATCGTGATGAATGAGCCGGGAGACGTAGATGTTGTCGCCACCACCGGATCCGGAGGCTTGTTGAAAGGAAGACTGTCCGGAACCCCATCATTTCTGATGTTACCTGGCAGCAATCTTGTTCAAGAAGTCTGGGCTGTGAGACATGATACGGAGGTTGTCAATGGCGACTGCGGGGCATGGGTCATCGACGCATCAAACGGGAACCTTTTTGGACACATTGTGGGAGGCAGCCCTCGCCTGAAAGTTTCGTACATTATCCCGGCTCATTTTATCTTCGATGATCTAAAGGTGCGTTTTGATGGTGAATGGAAACCTGCAGACGTTGCGAAACTCCGACGCTCCTGGTACATTAAGTAAGTTGTTTAAGTTCAAATACCATTTCATATTGCGGTGTTTTTGCTAACCGAACAGATCAATGCAAAGTGAGCGTGTCAGAATCCTCGTGGGTGCTTCCACCTTCGAGGTCCCCCACGACCTTCTCACCCATTGTTCAACAACGTTCAAAGGATTCGAGTTTCTTACTACGCCAGAAGACCCAACAAGGGAAATTGCCCTCCCAGATGTAACGAAATCAACCTTCGAAGACTTCCTCATCTGGCTGTACGCTTATGAGCAGAGTCTCGAGACTGAAACAATTGATAGCGCTTTCCACCTGGCGATTTTTGCACAAAAGTACCAGATTTATGATCTAAGGAACCAAACCTCAGATTTTATACGAGAAGCATTGCGCGATGGACACTGGACTGTTACACCAGATATACTCTTAGCGGTGTACAAAGTTGCTCCCTCAGGCTCACCTCTCAGACAGTTGTGTTTTTTGGGATTCGTTTCTATGGAATACCAGCGTAGAGCTCTTGATTGGAAAGCTGCGTTCATTAAATATCCATCTCTTGGTTGGGAGTATTTCCAGTATCGGAATGGCAGTGAGATGTATCACGGCGGAATTGAAACGGGGGGTGCGTGTCGCTTCCACGACCATTCCAACATCGACGGATGGAAAACTCAAGATCTTATTGATTGCCCGTATTCTCTTTAAACTTCGCTTGATCCAGCATCTGGTTGTAGCATCAAAAGTCTGGCAACGGTCAGCCACAAACGGGGCGAGGCTTTGCATAGCCTCGAGATTCGAAGTTATTTTAGTAATGGCTCTCGCACATCCTGCAAAAAATATTCGACTACTTCCACACGCCTAACGCAGGTGGCTTCCACAAATCTTTTGAGCATGAGAATGACAAAGGATAATGCTAGATATTCACGGTTCGTACACATGCTTCCGCTCGCTGTTCTTCTACTAACATTGCAGAGGGGGGTATAAAGGATGACTTGGTGTTTTCAAAATTCAAGTTTTCATTAGTATATAAATATTTTATTGCATTTGTGCTTAAATTCAAGTCCCCGAGATTTATATAATATAATACTAAGGATTTAATTCCCGCAATTTCTAAAATTACCCTATATATTATTATTCTCAATTATATTTCTTTTATTTATATCTTTATTAATTATAATATAATTCACGTATATAAAAGCTTATTTTAATAATTATATTATATTATTTCCAATAATATTGAAATCTCTAAATTCCAATAGAAATTAAGCCTAATATTTAATATACTAGCCTTTTATTATAATAATAGCCTTAATATAATTATTTATACTTATACTTAACTTATTAAAGAAATTTTAATTAAAAATATTTCAAATAGCTCGGAAATAAAATTCCAATTTTTATTATATATATTTTAACTTTAATTTATTAGTTATAATATTAGAGATATCACGATTCCCAGATGCCTCCTAGGCGCACGTGACGCGGCCGCCTCGCTAGGGAAGTATGCTTGGAATGCACTAGAGATATTTAGAAGGCTAAGCCCCTTCGGGACTAGTATACTATAGGATATATATACTCTCTCGCAGCTTCCTGTATTCTAGTTTTCCCTTTCTTACTTTGAATTGTCTTCGTAAGGGACTTTCTACCTTGCTTTTCAAGCCCTGAATACCGTACCCGTAATAGTATTCAAAGCTCACTTCCTTTAATCCTATAAAGAATTTTAAATAAACTAATTTAGAACTATTAGAAATATAGATGCTATTAAGATAACGGAACCTCAGAAATATAAGTATAGACTCCAGAATAATAAAAGCGAAAAGCTTTAGAACCCTTAAAGAAATCAGGTATTTATATCTTTATAAATATATACTAGTAATATATTAGAAACCCCTTCTAAAAACCCGAAAATTAAAGAACCTTAAATAAAGGCTACTCTTTAATCAAATCCTAAAGCAATAGGTACCTATAGGCTAGTAACCTAACTACTACCCTCAAGTTCTATCCTATAACCTTATAGGCCTTATATATATACTAGTAATAAGATTACTAGAGAGAATATAATAGAGGAAAAATATAATAGATTAATTTCCCAGAATACTATATAACCAGAAACTATATTAACTTCTACTAAGGCTTCTAGTAAAGCTCTTACTAGTTCAGGTCATTTTATTAGTAGCCCTTCTCAAACCAAATATCCTATTAGTATTTCTAGAGAATTTATAAATAAGTCTATAGAAATAGAATTCTCTGCTTTTATTATAAAGCTTCTAAAGACTAAAGACTATATTACTATTAGAGAGTTATATAAATAGACTAAGAAACCCAATATCTTACTTTTAGATATTAATATTATTATAAAGAGCTATTAGAAAAATATTTAAAGAGCTATTTTATATAAGAATACTTATAGTTATAATAAAGCTATTTTCAAGAATACTAAGCTTTATAATACTAAGCTCGAGAATAATATTAAATATTATATAGCTATAATAGATTAGCTTATAGTAGCTCTAACTACTTCTGCTTTATTTATTCTAGCTACTCTAAACCTCTCTTAAAAGAATTCCGAACTATTTCTTACTTATTTCTATCCAGGATTTCCTATATCTTATACTTTCTTTAAAGATATTAGAATTACTAAGCTTCTAGATCTAATTCTTTTTACTAGAGATTATACTATTTTTAATAACTAGCTAGTTCAAATTAAGAATAAGTTATAAGGAAATACTAATTTATATTTCTTAAAAGATCTTAAGATTATTTATATTTCTAGTAAACTTACTAGTAATACTCGTATTCTAACTAACTCTTATATAAATAAAGATAATCCAAATTAGTACTATTAGCTTTTAGAATTCTATTTTTATTTAAAGGAACTATATTCTAATTCTAATAAGATATAGAATACTTACTATAACTTTAATAAGCTTTAAATATATTCTAGTTAAATATTTTAGGAATTTTATATTCTTTTCTTATAATTATTTATAAAAAGTAATATTAGTTTTTAAGATATTAAATATAAACTAAATAAGAAGCTCTTACTAAAGCTCTAGAAATTAGTATATATATATTATAATAATTCTTCTATTAATATTACTTATTTTATTTAGTACTATATTACTAATAATTAGTAGATTAAGATTATATATAAGAAAACTAAGAAATATAAAAAAGTAAGAGCTATTCTAGTTAAGTTTACTTCTAGTATTATATTCCTAAAAAGAAGCCTAAAGAGCTTATATTAATTATTCTTATTAAATATATATCTCTTTATAAATATAAGTAATATCTTATAAAAACTAAGAATCTTTTAACTATTAAATACTTTAACTATAATAAGTTTAGCTACTATATTAGATACTATCCGGTTCTATATAATAAGGAAACTAATATAGCTTTTTCTAGAATTAAGCCAGGCTTAGTTTCTATTCTACCGGGATATATTATTCTAATAAAGTATTTAAAGAATTCAAATTCAAATTCTAATATAAAACCGGGAAATAAGTATTTCTAAAAAAAAGTTTCTATTTTAGGAACTTATAGTATAAATTTAGTAAAGATTAACTTAATTTATCTAATAGAAGAAAATATTCTTATAATACCTTATATTATTAGTATAAATAAATTAGGAATTAAATCTTTTTCCTTTATTAATACTAGAACTAATAATTATACTTTTATTAATATAAAGCTTATTTAGCTTATAAAGTAATTCTTAGAAATAGAACTATAACTCTTTCTCTTATTCTATATTATATATAGTTTTAATAGAAAACTAGCTAAGTTTACTAAGAAATATATAAAAGTCTTATTTCTAATTAATAAATAAAATATTAATATATTTCTAATTATTCTAAATCTTAGAAATTATAATATTATTCTTAGTAAAAAATAAATAGTATATATTAATATTTTAGTTAATTATAGAAGATATAAGCTTATATAACTAAAAAATAAACCTAAATCTATATAATTTAATTATATTATTAGTATTTTATAATAATAGCTAGAGAAATAACCTAATAAGAAATATTAAAAAAATACTAATTAATAAGATTTTATTATAAGCTATTTCTAGAAATCTTCTATTCTAAAATAGTCTTTTTTCTTTTAGACTAATTAGAGGAAATTATATAAGACTATAGAAAAGAAGCTTCTATAGCCTAATTAAGATATAATACCTAAATAAAAGCTAAAGAAATAGAAAGAAATCTTTAATAAAAAGCAAATATTAGATCTAGCTATTTTTATTTCTATAATATTTAATTATATAACTAAGAAAGAAAATAATATTATTAGTTAAATCTCTATTTATAAGATTAATAAAAAGCTTAAAGCTCGGAAAAAAGAAGCTATTTCTAGCCCAGAGAATTAATAACTAGAAGAAATAGAACTTTAATAGCTATAAAAAATATTGCTTCCGGGATTTAAAAAATATATCTCTATTTTCTTAAGAAGAAATCTAATATTCTTTTTTCCTATAAATAATATAATTATAAGATTTAGATTAAAGGCCTAAAAAAACCGAGAATATTAGATATTAATTCCTCTAGTAATAGTCTATTTAAGAGCTTCTAGAAATTAAGTATTTCTTAGAAAATAATCTAGCTAAAGGCTTTATTAAAGCTAGTTAGGCTTTTTTTATTTTACTAGTTCTTTTTATAAAGAAAGTAAATAGAGGTTTATATTTCTATATTAAATTTTATTATCTAAATAATATTACTTAAAAGAATTAATATTTTCTTTTATTTATTAATAAAACTTTAAGTTAATTATCTAAGGCTAAGATTTATACTAAATTAAATATTTATTAAGCTTTCTATTATATAACTATAAATCCAGATTCTTAAAAGCTAATAATATTTCATACTTACTATAAAGTATATAAATATAATATTCTCTAGAAAGGCCTTATAAATAGCCTGGCTATATATTAATATTATATAAATAATATATTCTTTAAATATCTAGATAATTTTTATATAATATACCTTAATAATATTTTTATTTATTAAGAAAACCTAATAGAATATAAATAGTATATATAAAAAGTATTAGATTATTTATATCTTACTATCCTTTAAATAAATATTAAGAAATTAGAATTTAAAATTATATATATAAAGTATTTAGGCTTTATTATTTCTATATCTGGTATTAAAATAGATCTTAATAAAGTCAAAGTAATATATAACTAGTAATTCCCAAAAATAATTAAAGATATATAGTTCTTTCTCGGCTTTTATAACTTTTATAAATACTTTATTAAAGAATATAAATAAATTACTAGACTTCTTATCTTATTTATAAAAAAGGAAATTTTCTTTAAGTAGTCTAAATAATATTAAGAGGCTTTTACTTACCTAAAGAAAGCCATAATTTCTATTCTAGTTCTATAATACTATAATTCAGATCTACTTATAATAATAGAAATAAATATATCTAAAGAAATAGTTACTAGCCTATTCTTTTAATAAGACCCAGAAATAAGCCTTTAGTATTCTATAACTTATTTTTCTAAAACTATACTTCTAGTAAAGCTTAATTATAATATATATAATAAGGAAATACTTATTATAATATAAATATTAGAAAAATAAAAAGCTAAGCTAAAAAGCTTTTAGGATACTTTCTTTAAAGTCTATTCTAATTACTATATCTTAAAATACTTTATAATTACTAAAAAGCTTTCTTTTTAATAAGCTAAATAAGCTAAGCTTTTATTCTACTATTATTTTAAGCTTATATATTATTTTAGAAA